TTCTTGCCCAGATTACTCTTTCAGCCCACCTATCTCCCACCTTTTGGGCCTTCCCACCTGCATTCTATCACTGCAAGATAACGGAGAACAAAGGACAGGAATGTGGGAAAGCTGAAAGAAGACCTTAGCTATCTCAGATTCTCCTTTTGGGTACCCTTATTCCCGGGGAGAAGTCTTTTCTGCTGTCCTTTAATAAAGCTTCTACTTTCTACTCTAAACTTGCCTCAGCGTGCTTCTCTGGTGTTGTACTTCAGCATTCGGGGAAGCAAGGACTCCTCACTGGTAAACAGCAGTAACAGGTTGAATGTAGGGTTGGTGGGGAGGGGAGGTACTCACCTATTGCCATTTACTGATATATGAAAAAAGTGCAGAAGGAGTAGGCTTCACTGGGAGGTTTGGACATGTTAAGACTGAGGTGCCTATTAGACATGCAAAGGGAGATGTGATAAGGCAGCTAAAATTTGAAGTTCAAGAAAAAAGTCTGAGACACAGATATAGATTCAGAAGTGACCTGCTTATAAATAGCATTTCCAGGTGGGGTGAATGATGCTCCAATAAAGTGAGTGTACCCAGGAAAAAGTCTGTGGAACTGAGTCCAGAGCCTCCAGAGTTTAGAGGCCAGAAAAATTAAGAGGGAAGAGCGAAGTGGTTCAAGCACTTTAGGGACTAGTTTTTAAAGCATGTATGTTTCTTTGGTCACTTGGTTACATTTTAAAACATTATTTTAACCATTTAATAAGCATCTATTCATGGCAAAAGATTAAATGTCAAACCTCACACAAGACTTCAATCACAAGACAGTGATTGCCTTCTCCTCTAATTCCCCAGTCCCACTCTGGCCATAGAGATAGCCACCTTTGACTAATTTAGAGTTTTCAGTGGTTACCCCTATGGAAAAGCTTTAATTCTGCTTTATCATATTCTTCAAATAAATAATTAAAAGTTTTCCTTAATTTTTTTATTAAGATAAAACTTCAGCATGGAGACCTTTCAGTCAGATCAAAAGTAAAAAGAAGAGGCTGAGAATGTTTGATCGAGTTACTAGTCCTTTGGAGGACAGAAGAGACAGTAAGTCAAGAGAGAGGCAGAAGTGCTATAGCTCCAAGAATGAGTATTTTTCATACTTATTCATTTCTTCCCAATCAAATTGTGTGTGTGTGTGTGTGTGTGTGTGTGTGTGTCTGCGTGCACACCTGCACAGAGGGAGGGAAGGTGAGAGATCTCACCTTCAGCTGCAGGGCTGGCCTTGGTATAGGTCACACAGTCAACCCATTATCTGCTCTAATTTTAGGGAATCTGGAAATAACCACAACCCAACTGAATAACAGGTCAGGCTAGTGAGTTCAGACTGAATTTTTAAAATATCTGCCTTAAAGTATAGGCAGGACATCATCAATCTCTAAATTATTGGACATCAGGTCAGAAATGTGTTCCTATTCTAGGAAGACTGTCTGTGGGCTGAAACACAGCTTATCTCTATTACAATAACCAAGCTGTTAAAAGGCTCTAGTTTTAGCCAAGGATAAGGTTTGGTGAGAGAATCAATTCATTAAAATTAGCTCAATTTTTTGAACAGGTAGATTTATAGATTTCAAATGAATGGATTGACCTAGATATTTTTTACCAATGGCATCAAAATACTCATTGGTAAAATGACCTTGTTATCATGGATTTGCTTTAAAATACCGTCACACCCACCCCAACAAAACTTCAGATATAAATTAAACAAGATTGTAACAATGCCCATAATGTTTGGAGCTAGGTTGTAATATATTGTGACTCCTTATACTATTTTCCTGTTTTTTGGTATGTTTGAACACTTTCATAAGAAACAGGATAGGAAAGGCAGCAGAACACAACAGACACTAGTATGGCAATATGTAAATCAGTGGATGTGTAACTGATGTAATTCTGCAATCTGTATATGGGGTAAAAATGGGAGTTCATAACCCACTTGAATCAAAGTGTGAAATATGATATATCAAGAAATTTGTAATGTTTTGAACAACCAACAATAAAAAATTTAAAAAAAACCTTATCTCACTAAAAAAAAAGTTATAAACAAAAAGCAGAGTATGGAAACCAGTAGTTTCCAATGGGAACAGTCTCATCAAATACATGACGATCTAACATCACTATTTTTTCAGAGTCTGAATGACTCAGTCTTAACTCAATCTTATGTAATGTGGTAGAGCTTATTCAGTCTGTTCAGATGTGTTTTGCAATTCACTCTCTGAGGTGACAATCAGTAATGTCCTTCCTTGAAGTGACAGACTCTCAAACAAGTATCTCAACATCCATAGCCTTAGTTTTAAACTTTTTCAAAGGAGCAATCTACCCCAAAGTTGAATGCAAGTTTCCAACTCTTGCAAAATCAATTGCAATAGGTAGATTTTCCTGTTTCCTCTTCTTTCCATCAGTGTGTTTAAAGCTTCAGAACCAAAGTTTGGACAGAGTGGAGTCTAGGCTCTTCTTCCTCTTCCTACAATGTGTCTGCAAGAGGTGAGCTTCCTCCAAGCCCATGGTTTAGGGGCTCAAATACAACCTATCAAATACAATCTGTCTTTCGTCTGTTCAACAACTTCTATTACAACTGGAAAAGTGAATGGTGCAAGTTTCTAATAGAATTACTGTTGATAAGAAGAGAACTAAACTATAACAATGACATTAGTTGCCTTCCTAGGCAAACAATATAGTCATAAATAGGAGTGATTAAGAATTAAAGCAAGGGAGAGAGAAAAGGAAAGGGGCTGATAATAAGAAATACCTAGTCTACCAGGTAATACCCTCTCAGCCTGCATTGGTGCCCTGCCTCCAGGCCTGAGGCACGCTCAGCATTGGGGATCAGGTCCTACTCCGTTGGAAGCAAAGCCAGCTCCCAGCTGGCCCAGAGAGGCAGGAATGACAAACTGTGGGGCTGTGACTGGAAACTGATCAACACCATCATCTGGCCCACTGATCTCTAAGCAAGAAACGCACGCCTAGGCCCAGAATTTCAATAGATTGCAATTCCTTTACTGGTAACCTGTGAGTCTTCCCTCCCCTTTGATGCTTCTTATGGGCCCTCACGGGATACTGAATCTCTGATACAGGTGAGCAGTGAGCCACTGCATGCTAGAATGATCCAGGACAGTTTGGGTGGCTGGGAGGGAGTAAGGAAGGGCCAAGGCAGGGTCACATGGTGCACCTACCTGCAAAGCTCAGTTTTTAACTGAATAGACACTTTCTCATCTTCCTAGATGGCTTTCATTTGGGTTGCCCTCTTCAGGAATTCTGGTTGGAAATGGGGAAACAATGGAACAAGAGAAAGTGGTGCAGGATCCGTGGAATAGGGAAGTGGTGACAAGCAATGGGTAAAATAAGACTGTCAAGAGAAGGGAAGTTTGTTTCAAACCCATGGAGCTGCCTAGGTTCCCTCCACACCTCCTTCCCTGCACCTTGTTTATCTAGTAAACAATTCCTCTATGCCAGCTGCATCCCTCTAGATCCTCTTAATGGTATTGTGTCATTTTCCTTTTTTATAAACTCACTTTCACGTGGTTTTCTCCTATAAAGTGGTATTTCTGGGGTTTGTTTTCTTTTTCTTTCAGACATATATGTACACACGCACACACACACATTGTGTAATGTTATCATTGTGTAATGATAACCATAATCAAATTAATTAATAAATCCATCACCACCCATGTTGTATGTTAGCTCCCCAGAATTCATTCATCATACAACACATGGTACTTATCCTTTGACCAACTTCTCCCCAGCCCAGGGCAACCACAGTTCTACTCTGCTTCTGTGAGTTGGACTTTTTAGGTTCCATATATTAGTGAGATCATACAGCATTTGTCTTTCTGTGTCTAATTTATGTCTCAGCAAAATGTTCCCTAGGTTCATCTGTGTTGTCATAAGTGGCAGGATTTCCTTCTTTTAGAGGCTGAATACTATTCTATTGTATAAGGTACCTCATTTAAAAAAGTCCACTGACCATCAATGGACAATTGAGTTATTTCCATATCCTAGATATAGTGAATAGTGCTACAGTGAACATGGGTGCAGAGGTCTCTTTGAGCTTCTGAATTCATTTCCCTTGAGTGTACACCCAGAAGAAGAGAGATTGTTGGGTCATTTGGTGGCTTTTACTTCAAAGAGTTTTTTACCCTTCATTTGGGCAATCTGAGAAAAGTTAAATAATGTATATTAGAGATACCTAAACTGTAAGGAAAATAATTTTACAAAGTAAGGCTTTTTTTTTGGAAAAATAGTTGTCATTTTAAAGTGTCCAACATTTGCTTCTTAGTGTTGCTGATCTTTCTTTGGTCAGTTTAAAATTTTATTCAGTTCACTAAGAGCTTTAACCACTAATATTGTGGGGAGGAAGGGTGTCTGAATTAGGGCAAGTGTGTCTGGCAAGGATCTAAGATGTGTCCCTGTCAGGGATACAAACTCCAGCCAAGATATGTTCGAGGCTGTAAAAGGATCAATATGATATCCAGGTGATGGTAAATTCTAATGATCTGCTGTTAGCCATTAGGTGCTTGGGGAGGAGAAAAGAAGAGAGGGTGATATTTATATAAGGCAGGTGTAGAGGAGGGAAAATAATTTGTTAGATAATGAGCTTATTCCCCAATGGGCTAATGTGTATTTTTAAAGCCATACTAAATTAAAGGAATCCAACTACCTCACTACTATTTTATAGCACATGGGAACAGGGACACTCTGTAGGGCATACAGAAAAAATTTTGTACATGAATCAGATTTAATTGCTTAGAGAGTTACTGGGAATTTTCTGTAATCAGAATGGAAATAAGGATAAGCTGAGGTCTTATAGATTCATGGTACTTAAGGGAGAAATTTAACACTGTGCCACACAGCTGTTTGTTGGTTGAGGGAAAGGCTGGCTGAAGTTGTAGAACTTGCTGGGTTTTTTTCTCCTTAAGTCTATAGGTGTGGAGTGTTCCCTTCAGAGAGACCTCCTTACCTGTGCTATAAGCTCTTTCACTGAGATGGATGACAGCAGTGTTAACAAAGAGCCAAACCAGAAACTAAACTTTTCCTTTAGTGAAGAAGAGACTGAAAGTGAAGAGCAGAAAAAGGTACAAGAACATGGGGAGACCCAGAGCCCAAGTCCAGAGATGGGTAAGGCCCAGGACTCAGTGGCTTCTTCGACTCCTCCCAGAAACATACAGGAACGCAACACATCTCAGGAGAAAGGTGAGGGTAGCCCAGATCTAATTCTGCGGACTCCAGAGTCAGCTCCTCCCAAATGTCCTGCTACCCCAGCACCAACAGCCAAGAGGAGCAGGCTGCAGCATGGTGACAGCCCCTCCACCCCCAAGGTAAGTTAGCTGTGGAAAGGAGCCAGGTCAGTGTAACCTGTCTTCAGTTCAGCTGACACGGCAACAGGACTCAGTTGTCCGTGTGTCTGTGGTAGACTTTCATCACCGGCTCTGTATATCCCCGGTTTTGTATTATTGGTGGAAATGAAGGACAGTGGAAAGCTACTGAAAAGAATCTGCTTCTTGTCTTCTCAAAATCATAGGTGCCAGTAACTATTTGGCATTGGCCACAAATAAGAGGGGTGGAGGATCCTAAAGCGTATTGGACGTAGAAGTAATTCTGAGATCTAGAGCCAATCTCTGTACTACATTTGAGAAAATTAAGGTCCCAATAGATGAAGTTGCTTATAGCTCAGCCAGTGGCAGAGACAGGGCTAGATACTTCATCTTTTGGACATGGTTCATCATTGTTTCCACCATTCCAGTTGACTATATTTTTTTGGGAAATTATTTTACTTTTTCCTAATACAAGAACATTCACATGAACATATTCATGGCCTTCTATTCTCCCCAGCAGGAACTCCTCCCTCCACTCAGCCTAGTCAAGAGCAGGCTCTTTTATAATAGAAGAGCAAAAAAGTAACTTTTTGATATTTCTTTAAAATTTTGAAATGGCAACTAAGAAGTGGTTTTGTTGTAATTGGTCTTCTATCACACTGCTCACGTTATCCCAACCAGGGTCGAGGCAGGTTACTTCTCATCGACTCTGGTGCCATGGTGTGTGATTCCTAGGATGGGTATTAGTTCTGCTTCCTGCTAGCTCAGCTTGATGTACTTAAGATCATTATAATAACATCTGTGATCCTGCTTGCAGGACAGTCACTGTCAGCGGGTCTCTTTAGTGCCTGCTGAGTTTGCATAGCGTGTCTAACAGGGAATACTAAGCTGCTTGTCTGAATTGCAGACAAAATATGTTCAGGGATCCATCAGCAGATTTTTTCAGTGATCTCAGTACCAATTAATCATTCATTTCTTGAGAATCCACTGTGGGTAGGGAAAATAAGATAAAATCTCTGCCCTCAAAGAGCTTAAAATCTAGCAGGAGAGAGGAGGGAGGGAGGGAGGGGGAGGTGGAGAGAGAGAGAGAGAGAGAGAGAGAGAGAGAGAAAGAGGGGGGCAGGGAAGGAGGGAGGGGGAGAGAGGGGGGAGGGGGAGAGGGGGAGAGGGGGGAGGGGAGGGGGAGAGGGGGAGAGGGGGAGGGAGGAGGAGAGGGGGAGAGGGGGGAGGGGAGGGAGAGGGGGGAGAGAGGGGGAGGGGGGAGGGGAGGGGGGAGGGGGAGGGGAGGGGAGGAAGAGGGGGGAGGGGAGGGAGAGGGGAAAAAGGCAAAAAGACCTTGTTAAGTGCTTCAAGAGTGGTCAGAGTTCTCTGGGCAGATTATCAGTGGAGTGACCTGGAAATAAACAGGTGAAGGAAGCACGAGAATGGCAATGAAAGTTGGCACAGTTTTGATACGTGGAGAAGAACTGGCTGAGAGTGTGGCTTGAGTAGGGAAGGACAATATGACATGGTGCTGTGTTTCATTCATTTGATCATTTTCAACTTAACACCTCATTGTGTTAGCAGATCTTCTGTTGGCAAAACCCATTTACTGTCTTCAAAAAAAAGTGCCCCCCAAATGAATAAAGACAAATAATGAAAAAACAATTCAAGTTCAGATCATGTGTGCTAGAAGAATGGTAGGGCATGAAGAGAAGGAACTATGAACTGAGCTTCAAAATATCAGGGAAGACTTTCCAAAGGAAATAATGTCTGAGAACAGTCTTAAATGATGATTTGGAGTTTTCCAAGCAGAGACTAGAGCTTGGGAGGGAAGCTACAAATGCAACTTCAGAAAGTGCATATTTATGAAAATACAGTTGGATCCAGGACTGGCAGAGAGGAGTTAAGGTGATAATAATTGGTAATGCTATGCTGAGACAATAATTGGTAATCCTTTCTACATAGGAAAGAAAGGTTGGCTTTGTTCAGCTTTGCCCAAGGAGTAGAACCAGAAATCATGTGAAACTGGCTTTAGTTTTCTGTAAGGAATTCCCAGCAGAATTACCTACAGACAGAAAAGCATCATCAGGAGGTAGTAGGGTTACTGTGGATAAATGTATTGACCACTAGCTGACAGCCACCAGATTGGAATACTCAAGAGATCGAAGCATCAGGGGACTAATTGTGCCAACTGGGCCTTTTCTTCTTGAGATACTATGACATCAGCTGTGTGGGAAGTTTCCTTCTCTTTTCACCTTCTTCAGAAGTCTAGGAGCTACCCAGTTTTCCCTTGTCTCCCTTAATCCTCCACACAGAGCGGGACTGAGGGATTTATCTACATGCTCTGGAGCATATTTATACTCTCAATCTGTGTCATCTTCCAGGAATCGTCAATCTGCTTTATCTCCCGGCAGAACTTCCTTTTGTAATGGATGTTACTAATGTCCTTATATCACAAGGGGACCTCATATATTCTGTTGGCTTTCATATTTACAGACTAGAAATTCTGATGTTGTCTGCCCCTATGTGACCAATTTTTCTTTTTCTTTTTTTTTAATCTGAAAATTTCTTAGGCTTTTTAAAAATTTTCCTTGAAATGTGGCAACAGAACTATGTGCTGTGTTCCAGGTGTGGATGTTTCATCTGTCACAGAAGCATTTTGCTTTCCATATGATGATCAGTATCACAAAACTCCTTCTCAGGGAACCATTTATAATAATTTTAAAAATAGAAAACATGTTTCCCAAAACACATTGGTAATTGAAAAATATCAATGATACAAATATAGTTCTGCTTATTTTGAACCAATAGTCAGTTCTCATGATAAACTCAGCAGAAAATCAAGAGTTTACCAGTGAGGATGTTGGCCACAGCCTCTGAGATTATTCATCCTATAAACTCTTAAGACACAGACAGGGCACTGTAAAAACCCTTGACTTTGATAATAACATATTTCTTCACTAAAATAAATATGTTATTATGTATACTCTGTAACTTCATTCATTTCCACTTATATCAATCATGTATTGAATGTAATAAGCCTCATTTTCATTCTTTGTATATTCACATTCTTTAATGAGTCATATTATAGTCTGGCTTCTGCTTCTATACTAAAAAGTCAGGGGCAGAGACCATCCAAATAGTAGAATTCTTTTATAAAGAATGCAGTGATTACCCTGGGAGGCACATGTGCTACTGTCTACTTACAGATCTATAGCATAGGTAATCCTCTGGTCCCTGGATCTTAGGACTAATGGAATTCTGTTGTCTCAGAATTTTCTGTCTTTGACTTTCCCCCTTGCCCTTTGGTTGATTCTGGTTCCAGTTAGGTCTATGGTCTCTTACTGTACCACACTTGGAGTATTGTCTTGTATACTCTCCTATTTATTGGTAGCCACTTCTATTGGTTATAGCCACTGCAAAACCTGAAATCTCAAGCAATTATTTCAGAGCACTATTTTTCAATCTCTTTACCTTACTTTATGGAGCTTTTTTTTCATTTAATGCTATATTTTAAGTGAAATTGGGAACTTATTTTCTCATGTTTAGTTTATGAAATCTCTTCCTTACAAAGTGATTATTTCTGAGACACTGAGAAAAAAATTGCTAACTAATAGATTATGTATTTCTTAAGAGCTAGAATTCACAAACATACCCCTCAGTATCTAGCCAAGAATCTGCTACTTAGTAGGCACTAAATATTTGAGTGAATAATTTGAAGTTAAAGTATAAACTATGGAACATATGGATGGGGTTTTCTATAGAATCATTTTTATTTGTTGAAATGTCCTCATCCTTAAAAATTGGAGGTAGGGCTGGGGATGTGGCTCAAGCGGTAGCTCGCTCGCCTGGCATGCGTGCGGCCCGGGTTCGATCCTCAGCACCACATACAAAGATTCTGTGTCCGCCGAAAACTAAAAAATATTAAAAAAAAATTCTCTCTCTCTCTCTCTCTCTCTCTCTCTCTTTAAAAAAAAAATTGGAGGTAGGATTAGAATTGGTGGGTTTCACAGAGAGCTAACAGAATTTCCTAGGGCAAAGGGGTGGAGCTTAACAAAATACAGATTCCTGTGTTCACCTCATAAATAAGAATATTTAGAGATAGAGACTGAGATTCTATGTTTTTCATAGAGCACCAGTTATTATGCAACTAGTTTGCTTTAAGGCCCTTTTAGCAATAACACTTTGTTCAAATATTAGCTAGCTAACTGATATGGAAGTTTTTTGTTTTTTTACTAACCCTATTCTGCCTTGCCTTTGGTTATCCTCATTCAGAGCCTGGTGAGCCCGCCGGAGATTTCTTCAACAGGGAAGCTTCTTCCCCGAAGTTCTAAGCATTTGAGACACACATTTGTTCCCCTCATGGATGAGAGTACCTCACTGGCTCTGGTCAATGTTAATCCATTCACCCCAGAGTCCTATAGACAATCATTCCTTCAAGGCAAGAGGAAGATCCGAGGAGATGTGTAAGTGTAGCTCTCTCTAACTTTTAAGAACCTCTATAGTCAAGGGGAAAGGAAAGAGAGAAAGTAAGTTTAGGAATAAGAACTCTATTTGAATGAAGTTTAAATAATGTTTACATGACTTTCCTCTTAAGTGCCGATGTTTTCACAGAGTTTCTAGCATGTTTCTGTTCCAATACTATACATAACTTCTCTGTAAAAGCAGGGGAAAGTAATTAATAGATCTCTGACTTCAATTAGAAAGTTGAATGGGGTATGGACTGTATTCAAGGGGTCTCAATTGGTTATTTTGGTCCTAGCAGATGGGAATGGTGTAGTTCACACAGCAAACAATATATTGCTACTTAAAGTGTACATTGTGTGACTGGTGATGAGAGCTCCAGAGAATAAGGATTTGAACTTCTCTGTAGGTGATGGAAGACTGATTACAGATAAAAAGATAGTGTTTATTCCACTTTCAGAGGTGCTGAAAAAATGGAAAGCCAAATTGCCCCATTCCACAAAAGGCATGGAATGGTAGAAATCATCCAAATAAGGACTGTGCATGTTACTCAAAGACATTACCATTATTTCTTTTTTCTTAAGAATGGAATTACCTCTGTAATGGGGACAGTTATATATGTTCATAAGTACCCAGCAAAATAAATGTGCAGTAAATAATCTCAACTTTGCAGAGCAGTAAATATACCATGATGGGTTGTTTCTTTAGATTCAATGTGTATGTGTTATGGAGATATGTGGCCTGAATAGGTTTTTTTTTTCAAAACAGTCTCCCAAATCTTAAATAAACAGAATTTCAGCATAAGTATAGCCAGTCTACTGTGGTTTCCAAGAATTCTATTGGTTTCAGCTCTTTAGGAGTCTTTGTATGTCATCAAAATCAATGGCTCCACTTTTCACTGAAGCAAGCAAGAAAAGACAATTAACTTGAATTCCTGGCAATGAAAGTGGTGATACTATAGTCATATTCTTACTGCTTCTAAGATGGTGTTTTCCTCCATTATTTATTGCTTTGTTGTTATTTTATATAAATGTCATTCATAAATATCAGAATGTAGTGCTAAATTTGCCACAAGTGTTCACCAATTTATTTCCATGAATGTAGTGTCCTCTACTTGTACGTCTCCAAAAGAAAAATCTACTGGCTGATCTGTAAGATGAATTTTTCCTAAAGATCCAGAATACAGTCATGCAAGAAGAGGATATTAATCAGTGCTTTCTGCTTATTGAAGAATAACTCAAGACATCTTAGCCAAGTCTAAGTTCTTAGTTCTGTTATATTTACAGTCTGTGAACCAAATTGAAAGCCAGGTTCCAGGTAGGGGTTGGAAGGAGGGTGTAGTGTGGCAATGAAGAGCAAATGCTTTGGGATCAGACTTGATTTCAAATCCCAGTTCTATCACTTACTAATTATGTAACCTAGAGGTTTCTTTTTCTTTTTATTTGTTCTAATTAGTTATACATTACAGTAGAATGCATTTTGACACATTTTACACAAATGGAGCATAACTTCCCATTCCACTGGCTGTACACCAGTAGTGTAACCATACATGTATATAGGGTAATAATGTGTGTCTCATTCTACTTTCCTTCCCATCCCCACAGCCCCACCCCTCTCTACACTTCCCTCTGCACAATTCAAAGTTCCTTCATCTTCCCTAGCCTGCCCCCAACATGGACCAGCATCCACTTATCAGATAAAACATTCGGCCTTTGGTTTTTTTGGGATAGGTTTATTTTACTTAGCATGATATTCTCTAGTTGCATCCATTTACCTGCAAATGCCATAATTTCATTCTTCTTTAAGACTGAGTAATATTCCACTGTGTATATGTACCACAATTTTTTTATCCATTCATCTGTTAGTTTCAGAGTTTGGCTATTGTGAATTGAGCTGCTAAAACATTGATGTGGCTACATCACTGTATGTGCTGATTTTAAGCCCTTTGGGTATAAACTGAGGAGTGGGGTAGCTGGGTCAAATGGTGGTTCCATTTAAAGTTTTCTGAGGAATTTCCATACTGCTTTCCATAGTGGTTGCACCAGTTTGCAGTCCCACCAGCAATGGATGAGTGTGCCTTTTTCCTCACATCCTCGCCAACAGTTATTATTGCTTGTATTCTTGATTATTGCTTAAATTGCCATTCTGACTGGAGAGAGATGAAATTTTGGAGTAGTTTTGATCTGCATTTCTCTAATTGGTAGAGATGATGAACATTTTTTCATGTTTGTTGATCATTGAATTTTTTTTCTGTGAATTGTCTGTTCAGTTTCTTAGCTCATTTATTGATTGTGTTTTTTTGGTGTGTGTGTGTGTGTGGTGTGGTGTGTGGTGTGTGTGTGTGTGTGTGTGTGAAATTTTTTGAGTTCTTTATATATCCTGGAGATTAGTGCTCTAAGAAACTACAGAACACTAAAGAAAGAAATTGAAGAAGACCTTAGATGATGGAAAGTTCTCCCATGCTGTTGGATAGGCAGAATTAATATTCAGAATGGCCATACTACCAAAAGTGTTATATAGATTTAATGTAATTCCTATTAAAATCCCAATGACATTCTTCATAGAATTAGAAAAAGCAATCATGAAATTCATTTGGAAATAAGAGAATCAGAATAGCCAAAGCAATCCTTAGCAAGAAGAATGAAGCAGGAGGCATCAAAATACCAGACATTGAACTATACTACAGAACAATAATAACAAAACCAGCATGGTATTGGCACCAAAATAGACATGTAGATCAATGGTTCAAAATAGAAGATAAAGAGACAGACCTCATAAATACAATTATCTCCTACTAGACAAAGATGCCAAAAACATACATTGGAGAAAATATAGCCTACTCAACAAATGGTGCTGGGAAAACTGGAAATCCACATGTAACAAAATGAAATTAAACCTATATCTCTCACCATGCACATAACTCAATTCAAAGTGGATCGAGGACTTACGCACTAGAACAGAGACCCTGCGCCTAATAGAAGAAAAAGTGGGCCCAAATCTTCATCATGTCAGCTTAGGAACTGACTTCCTTAACAGAACTCTTAAAACACAAGAAGTAAAATTAAGACTCAATAAATGGGATGGATTCAAACTACAAAGCTTCTTCTCAGCAAAGGAAACAATAATGTGAAGACTGAGCCTACACAATGGGAGAAAATCTTTAACCTGGACTTTGGCAGCACTCTCTGTCTTGCTTAGCTTATTGGGGATGATAATGCCCACATAGAGTTTCACAGATGTTCTCTTCTCTCCCTTGCTTCCAATTCTTAGCACATGGTGTTCTACTTGCCTAGAACTCCCACTTGTTTTCCTAAGCTGGATCCCACTCATTCTTGGAATCTTAGCTTACATATCCTCTCTTTTGAGAAAGCTTTTTAGTCTCAAAATACTTAACTGGACTTTGGCCACAGTATCCCTTAATGCTTTTTTTTTTTTTTAATCTTTAGTTGTAGCTGGACACAAACCTTTATTATTTTATTTATTTTTATGTGATGCTAAGGATCGAACTCAGTACCTCACACGTGTGAGGCAAGCACCCTACCATTGAGCTACAACCCCAGTCCTAATGCTTTGTTCTTAGCCTGCCTGATGTTCTCATAGCGAAACTTCCTGGTTATCCCTGCCTTCAGACAGAGATTAAAGCAAGGAAGAAACTGTCTTATAGCCCCAGAACCTAGCACAGCACCAGGCTTCATCAGTGCATTAACATATATAAGCATACCTTGATACAACACCTTTCTTTTTCCTTAGTGAGGAAGCTGGCTCGGAGGAAGGCAAGTTGGAAGGGCTGCCTGCCAAGGTGAGCATGATTCTCTGGCCCTGCTGTCAGGACACAGGCTTTTCATCCTGTTCTCTCTCCATCTCCCCTGTCTTCTCATCTCTCCTCTCCCCTCCCTTCTCATCTCTCCATCTCCCCTGTCTTCTCATCTCTCCTCTCCCCTCCCTTCTCATCTCTCCATCTCCCCTGTCTTCTCATCTCTCCTCTCCCCTCCCTTCTCATCTCTCCATCTCCCCTGTCTTCTCATCTCTCCATCTCCCCTGTCTTCTCATCTCTCCTCTCCCCTCCCTTTTTGCCCTTTCTCTCCCCCCTTCCCTTACCTCTCTCTTCCTTGCCCCTTCTCCCTCCCTTCTCTTTTTTCCTTCCTCCCCCTTTTCTCACCCTCTCTCCTGTACCCACCTCGGTACCTCTCCACCTCCTTCTCTTTTCCTCCCTCTCTCCCTGTCTTCACCCTGCTCCTGTCCTCCTTGGGCTTCCTCTTTCCTTTTTTCTCCTCCTCTGCCTCTTCCCCCTCCCCCTCCCCAGCCCTTTATTTCTATACTAATGGGATGTAGAAATGACAGGAAAATCCAGACATTTTTTTTTTTTTTCAAATGGCAAAACAGAATGGGGGACAATGGTATAAAACCAGAGGTTTGTATGTAAAATTTTAGTGCTTTTGTTTGTGTGTGTGCATTGCTGGAGATGGCTTTAGGCATGCTAGAAAAGCTCTCTACTGGTGAACCTTCTCTCTGAGCTATGTCACTAGTCCAAATTTCAGCTCTTAAATGTGTCCCTATCTATTGAGTTTTATATTGTTTGCAGTCTTCCATGTAGTATTCCTCTTCTGGTAATCGGACCTAAGAAACTAATACTCTAAATACTACCTCAGAAATGTTTGTTACATCTTAATTGTGATAACAAAAAGTAGGGGGTTGCTAAATGCCCAATAAAACAATGACTAATTTAATATAATATTGAGTCAATAAAAATTAAATTGGAATTAAGATGTTTATAATGTATAAAAACATGGATCAGTTCAATGTTCAGTGTACAAGAACCCTCAAAAAACTAAATGAGGAATGATCACAATTATGTGTTACATATTCATTGAATTAGTAGAAACTACTCGAATAGTGGAAATTTAATTTTTTTCCTTCTAATTCCTAAAGTTTTCTGCAGCAAATTTTATCTGTTGCATAAAGGAGTTGATATTTTAAAACATGACTGTAACCATCTTGGAGAAGACGACCATGGGCACATGCTTCCTTTTATAAGCAGATGTTTCTAACTTATGCCTTCACTACTCTTGGAATTTTATTCTTATTTTGTAAGGCATCTCCTAGCTTCAGATAGAAATGTCAAAAATATTCATTAAGCATTTAATATGTGAAACACATTGTATTTGGTTCCCATAAGGAATAAAAACTATGAAAGTCACTTCCTAAGAGGAACTAACACCTTTGAAATTTCAAAATAATCTAAACATAAATGTGAAGTTAAAAGATGTGTATATTTATTTGTATACTTGTGTGATGTGTATATACATACCCATGTATTTATTTAAAACTTCGGTGGAGGGTTAGAAAAGATGTAGGAAGCAAGTCCACCAGAATACAGTGTATCAAAATAATTCTGGGCAAAGGAATAAGTAAATGCTCTGAAGGTGGAGGAGGTTATGTTGTGAGAGGGTGGGATTGGAGAAATTGCAAGGATGATGAGCTGGCAGATTTGGTATCTGAGATGAAGGTGGTGAGGTAGTACTGTGCATCTGATGAGAGGGCCTTCAGTTCTCTTGTTAGACGTTTAAATTTCGCACCAGGAAACAATTAATTGTCTGATTCTGTGGTATCATTTTGCAAAAATAATTCTTACTATTAAAGGAGTTAGAAAGAGGGACAATAGTTATAGTAAATCCAGATATGGAGTAAATGTCTTGAGATTGGCTAAGGGCAATGGAAATTGGAGACCTAGATGATGAAGACCGATTGGAATTGGATGTTAAAATGAGCTAGTTAACATCCACATATCAAAAAGAACATTTGAAGTTGTGCTGAAATTGTGTACAATGAATCAAAATGCATTCTGCTGTCTCATATACCTAATAAAAAATTTTTAAAAAAGAACATTTGGCCTTTGTTTTTGGGCGATATTCTCTAGCTCCATCCATTCACAGGCAAATGCCATAATTTCATTCTTCTTTAAGGCTGAGTAATATGCTACTGTGTATATATACCACAATTTCTTTAACATTCATCTGTTGAAGGGCATCTAGGATGGTTCCATAGCTTAGCTATTGTAAATTGAGGTGCTATAAACATTGATGTGGCTGCCTGACTTTAGTATGTGGATTTTAAGTCCTTTGGGTATAAACCAAGGAGTGGGATGACTGGGTCAAATAATGGTTACAATTTCAAGTTTTCTTGGGACTCTACATACTAATTCCATAGTGCTTGAACCAATTTGCAGACCTATGAGCAAGGTATGAGTGTACCTTTTCAACACTCACATCCTTTTCAACATTTAGTGTTACTTGTATTCTTGATAATTGCCATTCTGACTGGAGTGAGATGAAATCTCAGTGTAGTTTTAATTCACATTTTTCTAATTGCTAGAGATGTTGAACACTCTTCATATATTTTTGACCGTGCACATTTCTCCTTCTGTGAAGTGTCTTTTCAGTTCCTTGGCTCTTTTATTAATTAGGTTATTTGTTTTTTTTGGTGCTAAGTTTTTTGAGTTATTTATATATCCTGAAAGTTAATGCTGTACCTGAGGTGCATGTGGTAAAGATTTTCTCCTTTTATGTAGGCTCTCTCTTCATGTTATTGATTTGTAACAATATTTTCTAATATATATAATTTTATATGATAGCACAATGCATTACAATTCTTATTTCACATACAATTATTTCATTTCTACTCTGAATATCGACACAAATAGAACAATTTGATATGTGGATGCTAATATACATAAGGGTGGGCTAGGGAAGAATAGAGATACTTTGGATTGAACAGAGGGGAGTGAAGGGAAGGAAGAGTGTAAGGGAGTAGGAATGATAGTAGAATGAGTCAGACATTATTACCCTATTTGTATATAGATTATATGACTGGTGTGATTCTACATCATGTAAAACCAGAAGAAAGAGAAATTCTATTCCATGTATGTATGATGTGTCAAAATACATTCTACAGTTATGTATACCTAATTAGATATAAATATAAATAAAAGTATCATTGCAGTCAAAATGAACTAGTTAAAATAAAAAAAACCCCAACTTTATTTACTTATTTATTTTTGATCCCAGGGATTGAACCCAGGGTGCTTAATCACTGAGCCACATCCCCACTTTTATTTAATTTTTTTAAAAATTTTGAGACAGGGTCTCACTAAGTTGCTTAGGGCCTTTCCAAGTTGCTGAGGCCAGCTTTGACCTCATGATCCTCCTGCCTTGGTCTCCCAAGCTGCAGGGATTACAGATGTGCACCATAGTGTCTGGCTAAGAATTAATATTTTTTAAACCACTGAAGTTAGAAGATAAAAATTTCTGCTAATTGGGAAATTAGGAAAAGATGACTTTGGTAGACAAATCAAGTTCATAGTAAATTGATGGAGATGCTGATCATAATAGTTTGCTGAAAATTTCCTATGTGCTGGGCATTCTACTAAGTTATCTATCTTATTATTACATACAATATAAGTAATAGGATATTACATATTTTCATGTAATAACCTTAAGGAGCAGTGGCTATGATCTTCATCTTACAGATGAGAAAGCTGATAAAGGAATTCAATTATTTGTCTGGAATTATTTACTAGGTGGGAAAAGAGGGATGTCACTAGTTGGCCAGTAGGGAGAAGGTTTGCTTTGCTTGAGCATTTATTCTGAACTAATCAAGCGAGCATTTTTGTTCTTCAGGCCAAGATTTTTGAGAAAACTATTTGTAACCAAGTCCATTCAATATGAGATGGAAATCTTAGCATGAGGACGGTGAGAAATGTAAAGAAGAGATTCAAAGGGACGTTTTGGTTTTTGATTTGCTCTTCCTCAGCCGAGGACAGTAGTGCTAGGTATGACAACATGTGTTCTCTGTAGAAACATATAGAAAATAATACTATGACTAGGTAGAAGAAAGACCATTAGAGAATGCACAAGAAATGTCAATACAGAATTGTGCGGAAAGTTACAAAGAACAGAGAAGGTAGTCAGACATTGAGGGATTCTTGCTACTGTGAATATCGACACAAATAGAACCTACTGCATTTGCCTCAAGTCTTTTTCAAAACCTAAAGAATTTAAGAATGTAATATGGTTCTTTTTTCATTGCTCACAATATGTTGGGAAGAGTTATTCTAATTCTCTTTCTATAAAAATATTTTAGAAAAGTGTTCTACAAGAAACTAACATGGCTTCCCGCTATGAAAAGGAATTCTTGGAGGTAGAAAAAATCGGGGTTGGAGAATTTGGTACAGTCTACAAGTGCATTAAGAGGCTGGATGGATGTGTTTATGCAATAAAGCGCTCTACAAAACCTTTTACAGAATTGTCAAATGAGTGAGTACCTTCGAAATACACTAGAGGTGTAATCTTGGATTTGGAAAGCTGTTTCTTTTCAAAATATTTTAAAAGCGAGTGTTGATAGCATGAAACAAATACTCGTTGCTTCTTTGTTGTCATTTTAAAATTCTCCTCCCCCAGTGTATGTCGTCTTATGTTCATTACTTTCTTGAGTTTTTCAGATCACTTTTTCCAGAGACAAGTTCCTAAACTATAACATGATAATTTCAAATACTGCTGTGAGTGTGGGGTTTTTTTTTTTGTGTGTGTGTGTGTGTAAATCTCTTAGCTTTTACATTTTAATACTGGTCTTACTGTCTTTTTTTTAATGAGTAGATTTATGGAATTATCTTTTGATACTTGTTCAGTTCATCAGAAATACTGCTGAGAAAGAAATTATCGTTGACTCACTGAGTTACCTCTACTTTGCATTAATAATGAATACAATGGTCAAGTTTCAGAGACAATACACAAGGAAAAATTATTTACAATAATTTATATTTCATCCCAGAGCTAATTGTTAGCAATTTCTTCCTTGGTTATAAGGAAAACAAATATTTTCAGATTCCACCAATACTTTTTATGAATTCTTTGGATATAATACTATGCTGAATCCTGAAATTACAGACTTTGAAATTCATTTTTATATTGAAATTCATGAAGTACTATATTTTGCTTACCTTGTATTGGGTTTTCCTATTGTATAACAAATGTCTATCACTAAGACTCTCTATGACTATATCATATTGACTGAGTTTAATATTGACTCTAATGAGGGGCTGCGGTGGTGGCTTAGTAATAGAGCACTTGCCTAGCATGTGTGAGGCACTGGGTTTGATTCTCAGCACCACATATAAATAAATAAAACATAAAGGTCCATTGACAACTAAAAAAAAAAAAAAAAGACTATAATGACAATCTAGCCTTTCAGGGAAGATAGAGACCCATCACAATATCCACCATGGGTGGTATGGTGACTTTCTTGTTAAGCCCTTAAGGTTTTTATATTGTGATACAGTGAAATTAAGATCTGAGCCTGTCTACTATTGTGACAGTAAACACCTAAGATTCCTCTTCACATATGCCATATTCAATATAACAACCGAGGACCTTGGTACCAGGTTGACCAAGCTTCTGGTCTAACCACTATCACTTTGAATTTGGACCAGTCACTTACTTTCTAGAGACTTCATATTTCCCACTGTGTCTTACCAATGAAGACTGAATGAGATAAAATAATAAGCATGCAGTAAGCACCCAGCAAATGTTCTGCCATTGTTCATGCCTCATATTTTCTTTGAAAACTTCTTAATGTACAAATTATCTTGATTAATTTTTCTCAGTGCTTTTCTGTTTCAGGAACTTGAGTTTGCATGAAGTTTATGCTCATGCAGTGCTTGGGCATCACCCGCATGTGGTACGTTACTATTCCTCATGGGCAGAAGATGACCACGTGATCATTCAGAATGAATATTGCAATGGTAAGTACGTGGACTAGTATCTATAGAGAGGGATATGAGTCTTGTAAGTCTTCAGAAATAAAGCTGGACTCTTCAGAATTTATGCCAAGTATAGCAGAGACATACCTAAAATGTTGGTACCATAATCTTGCTTAGAATCAGAAAGCTGAGAAAATAGTTGAGCTGAAAAAGGAATTTTCAGGTGCATATATGTATTTCAGAACTTGTATGTAGTTGATATGTATGAGACATCACTCCCTTTACACTTTATTTACACTGAGAGAAAAATTTACCCCAACATTTAAATGGTAAATAATTCTTCTGCCATTTTTTAGTTATCTTGAAAGATACAAGCCATGCCACTTTGAGGAGCTGGTGGTGAAGTTTCTTCATGATGCCCTATTTTGGTATACATATGACTTTTGAATAATTTTCTAGTAGATTCTTAAGTTGGGATAGTTAATGCTTCTTACCTTTGAGATTCAGTGTTCTCAGAGAACTTGGGGTGAGACACCAGGACTGGACTTGGTGACTTTAGATACATTATCCTAGGTTCTTCAGGATTGAACATCCATGTAACACATTGTAACACACACTTGTAGCACATTTTTCTGGGCTACTTAGATCACACAGAGAGTCCTCTGGCTAAACATATTTCTAGTCCGTTTTTAAGAGGTTGACAACAGTTATGTGTTGTTGGCCTTGGAAATATTTGTCATCAAAATGTTCAGTGGTAAAGTAGAAAAGTGCTACAAATTGAATAAAATCTAGCCCTCATATTAGGAGTAGAAATCCATATTCTGGCCCAGTAGTATTTGACAACCACGTTCCTTTCCTCTACCTCACCTTCCCTGAGTGTCTTCAATGGTGTAGCCTGTCCTTTAGCAATTTTAGTAACCAATTGGCCCTGAGTATATATGTCCAGCCTGGCTTTTTAGGGTAGTGATAAGTGATAAATTATATAAATTAATATTATATATTATATAAATAATATATAATAGCATATCATATATAAATAAATAAGAAGTAGGCAAGTAAATAATATTATGAAATGCTAGAAAATGATACATACATCCTGTAAAATAATGATTTGGCATTTCTATTGTTGTTTTCTTATAAATTTCCTTTTAGCATTACCTGTTACCCTTGTGGGCTGTTTTTTTTCTCTTATTATCTCACCGCAAATCCCTTTTTCTAATAATCTGTCTGGAGGAACTGATGGATCCTTTCTTTTTGCTTAAGATTGAGAGGTCAGTACTTCTCAATCATCTTCTCTTCCTAATTCCCCATTATGGAAGCCTGAGGTTTCTGGGTTTTTTTCCCACTCTCTTTCTGTAAGGAAGATTAGTTTTATTGCTGTGGCTTTTTTCTATTAAAACACAGATATTGCCAAATAACAAAATTAATCAATAAAACAAAAATGCTTTGTAACTTGTTTTGGGAACAGTATAAAGCCTTCAAAATTCAAACCAAATAAGTTGGAGAGATTATTTCTATTAGAATCATCTTTTAACTTATTTTAGCATTTGTGGACCTTCTAAAGGCTTGACACTGTATGGAGCTGTAGGTAGAGGAGTACTCAAGACACTGTGCTGCACTCATTCTTTTAGAGTGACTACACAAGGGGCAATGCAAAGCTTGCTGGTGCAACTATGGATAAACCAGTAAAGAAGATAAATGTGACAAGATATTGGAAGGGGCCTGTATTTTAGGGTCAGGAAGACCTGGTTTCCAAGCCTAGCTCTGCTGCTCACTAGTTGTATAATTGCTGTGATGTCAATATCAAATGAGTGAAGGAATGGTAAAGGAATAGTTTGAGAATTAGCAACAATACCTGCCAAATGTTAGCAGCAGAGTGCCAATACCACCTGGTGTAGAGTAAAAACTCAGTAATAATTGTTGTTAGAGTAGCCTGAGATAATTTCATAAAGGAGGTAAGATTGGAATTAGACCTTGTGGAAGGCCAGTTAGGTACTTAGACGTTTTCCAGTTGTTGGAATAGCATGTAGGCCAAGGGTATGGTATCGGGAGCAGGTCTGGCACACAGTAGGTTCTCACATGACTGAAGTAACCCATGTAGTAGGAAATGAGATCAACAAGGTAAAGGATGAGGAGACTAGAGAAGGCCTTGAAAGCCAGGCAGTAGATTTCAGATTAGATGTGATGAATTCTAGGGAATTGTTGTTTCTTCACCATGATGACCGATAACTTCACTACTTGCCATTTAAAAAACAACTTTGATTTTGCAAAATGCAATCCATACATGTTGAGCCTTTCCAATGTCTCATTCCTTTAAATGCTTCCTTCATTCTATGTCCTATCTCTCCCTCCTTCTCATTCCCTATTTTTCCATCCTCCACCTTCTCTCGCCCCCAGTCTATCACAGAAGTTAGGCTGGAACATGTACAATTATGATTTTAACTTATATTATAAATCAGATGATTTAGATAGTCATTTAATTTCCCCTGCTATCTCTCCCAACCCCTTAACCAATAAAATGTTACTTCCTTCTTCTCCATCCTTGCCAAGTTCCCCTACAAGTCACCTCTGGGCCACCCTCAAAAATCTAAAATAGTAGTTGGATTCTACAACCCTAGGATTCTAACTGAATAAGGATTAGACATTAACCTCTGCTACAGGCAGTATTTTCTGGTGACATCTGTCACTGGAGTTTTCAAAGCATGCTCTCCTAGAATGGTGGTCCTTATACTTGTTTGGCTGATGTGACATTTGGAACTAGGCATCCTCTCTGGGATGCCATGAATATTGGTTGTATTTTTCTATCAAACAAAGAATCACTTCACCAGCAGAAAAATATACTGGTGTTATAGGTAGCAACATGAAGAATGTGAGAATACAAATGTATGAACCAATATTCTGTTGAATAGTTGATCTTTTTTAATATTTTATTCTTAGAGTCACCTGCTCTTTATATATTTTGATATCTGTTAGGTCTCATTAGAAGAAAGGAAAACATAAATATCATTTTTAAGTTTCTTTTATTTTCTGGTAAGGGAGTAAAGTACTATTATTTTTATCTTAAGGGAGGAACTCAGCAGCCCATCTCACAAAGTGCCCAAGGGCTGTTTTGTTTTTTTCTTTGGGCACAATGCTTGCAATTACAGAAGCCATGTCCAAGTTGTACCTTGGGTTATGAAGTTAGGGCTTCTGTGACTGGATGGGATTGATGGGGATGAAGCTCACAGTATATTCAGAATTGTTATGTATATAAACACGTGCTTCCTTTCTGACACTATTGAGTAAAGGACAGTTAATTGTGCTCTTTTATAAGGGATGGACAATCAGCTCTAGTTGTAGCAAAATAAGGATATTCTAACACCTCTGTATATAGGAGTACTTTTCAATTACTTCTACTATTGTTAATTATTACTTGGCCAATTTTAACATTATTTACTCAACATCCAAGTATTTAAAAGCAATGTTAACACTGGTATTGTTGCCCTTACTAACACTGTAGCTTTTCAGAGTAGCAAGCACCTCTGTTTATAACCTACAAGAACATACTAAAAATTCCTAGTATCCCAGGAGTCTTCTTTACTCCATACCTTAAAGGGGTCCTTGACTTTCTATATCTTTTCCCTCTAGAGCCAGGATGAACATTCATTTCAGAAAATATTTATTGCATGCCAGGTCTTGGGAAACGGAATATGAATTGGATGTGGTCTCTGCCCTTATGGAACTCAGGCTAGGAGGGACACAGGAGTTCTATTGGATGCACCCTTCCTCCTCCTTGTCAACATCACCTCATCTACAAACTGTCTCAGAGTGGCTTCATTTTAAAACAAAATCCAAAACCTTCTTTTTCCTTTTTCTTTCTCAGTAATAACTCATCTATAATACATAAATTCTTTTCTGAGAAGAACCTGAGAGAAGTAAAAACCTTTACTGTGGTCCTCTTTGTGTTTCTGAAAAGATCTGAATTCTTTCTTTGAACTTATTTTAGCATGACAGATGAATCTTTTCATTTAATTTTATACAGCATACTTTAAGCACACATTTCCTCTATTACCATCTGATACATATTTGACTGGTAGAGTTACAGCTTTGTAACTGCCAAGGGGAGCCAGGACCCTATAATTTGAAGAATCTGCTAGTAAATGCTAATTAATGAAATAAAGTGCTCAGAAACACTCTAATATCTTAAGACGGGTGGCCAACCTCAAGTAGTCATATAAACCCAAGCCTTATTTTTTATTGATGACAATGATGAATCAAGATAGTCTACAGCTGATATTTAAATACTGTGGTTCAAATAGGATTCAGATGTGTCTAAAGTTTTAAATTTTTCCATGGGTCGGCTATCATTAAGTATTCTCATTTTATGATATATTTTTAGTCGAATTAGAATCCATTACATTAAAATTATTAGCCTGACATTGACATGGAATTAATCATCAATACTGATGGCAGCTATATGACTATGCCTGATTGGCATTTTGGTTAATAGGTAAATTTTTCTTTATTCATACTGAGAATTGAACCCAGGGTCACGACCACTGAGCTACATCCACAGCCCCTTTTATTTTTTATTTTCAGACAGGGTCTCACTAAGTTCTAAGGCTGGCTTTGAACTTGCCTCAGCCTCCCAAGTAGCTGGGATAACAGGCAAGGGTCACAGCACCTGACTTCTTTTCCTTTTGAAAAGCTCTAATTCTTCTTTCCAACATCTCTATAATATAAACATAGAGCAGATAATATTATGCTTTGCACTGACACTAAAGTAATACAGACTCGTTGGACTGCAAACAATCATGAGGAATTTATTGAATATTTATTATGCTTTCACCTTTAAGACTCATACCTATTTTCTCTTCCTGTGGAGTTATTCTCTGTTGTTTCTTTCCTAGGCGGGAGCTTGCAAGCTGCTATATCTGAAAACACTAAGTCTGGTAAACATTTCCAAGAACCAAAACTCAAAGACATTCTTCTGCAGATTTCCTCGGGGCTTAAGTATATCCACAACTCTGGCATGGTACACCTGGACATCAAACCTAGTCAGTATGGCTCTTTCTATTCTTCATGCCATATTTTGTTCTTTTCATATCATCATCACAATTTGTGTCTGAAAAAAAATTGTGTCTGTATCAAAGGCCCTTGACTATCAAGTGTCAAAAAGTGTTGGCTGGGAGAATGCCTTCCATTTGTTTCCCCTAAAAAAGTTCAGTTAAATAGTTTAACCATTTCCCTCTTGGACTTAGAGAACAGAAAGGGGGAAAAAACTTCCATATCATGAAGGTAAACTATAAAATAGATATTTAATTTACTACAAAGGTGGCCGTTTATTGGCTACATTCTGATCATGTAATTTATAACACTGCTGCACTTTTTCTAATACAGCACTGATCAAAATGAGCAGAAATGAATTGCTTTTTCACTCATTAATGTGAAACTTAAGGATAAGTTACTACTTTTGTGTCTGGTGAGACGATGGTATCCTGCCATCAGTCTCTTCAGAGAATGTGAAATATATGATGATGGTTTAACTTGAATAGGCATTATCAATCACTGGCTATCCCAATGTGATTTGAGAGATCTCATAGAAAAAAAAGAAAGGTTGGTGGTCTTGCTACAATCACACAGGAGGAGAAAATAGGGCAGCTAAAATGTCAAATTGAGAAAAGAATCTTTGGAATGCAGAGCTTGGGAATCATTACTTAATGCCTAGTCTGTATTTTTCAGGTAACATCTTTATTTGCCATAAAATGCAAAGTGACTCTTCTGGAGTCCCAGAAGAGGTTGAAAATGAAGCTGATTTGTTTCTCTCTGCCAGTGAGATATATAAAATTGGTGAGTCTGCTTTGTAGCCCTACCAGTATACTATTATCCTATAAAACTTATACTGATGACTCCCCTTATTCTTTTAAAGAGCTCTGTTTCTTATTTATTTATATTTTTTAGGTGACCTGGGTCATGTGACATCAGTAAGCAAACCTAAAGTAGAAGAAGGAGATATTCGATTCCTGGCTAATGAGATTTTGCAAGAGGTATAGATTAAAGGGATAGGGAGTATTTTGTTATTTTATTTTTTGAGACAGGGGCTTACAATATTACACAGGCTGGCCTCACACTTACAACTCTCCTGTCTCAGCCTCCTGAGTAGCTGGAACTATAGGCATGGAGGGTATTTTATACTCATTGACCTTCTTGACACTCAAGGCTCAGTGCAAAAAATGAAGAGAGTATATCTAAAATTTAAACATATTGTATCTACTTTCCATTGAGAATAGAAACCAAAGAGGGGAGAAACTTACCCCCAAACATGGGGAAACTGGCTCAATCAAAGGTGAATCGATACTCACACAGTTCTTTCTGCAGAATTACTGATCTGCCTTTTTGGAAGGAACCCTCCTCCTTAAGCTCTGGTTGGTACAGACCATTTTTATCATGTTGTTATCCTTTAGCCATTGCCCATCTTCTAAGATGTCTGTTGAGTCTGACCTAGGAAGGATAAAACTTCCTTCTGAGTGATAATTAAGAAAAAATGAGTCTTTGATTCCTGTGATTGGCTAGTTTATGTGCCAAGCCATCTTGAGTCTGGCAGGGCCAAATGGCCCTGAGATTATTCCTTGGGCACTTCAGGGCATAGCAGTATTAAAAGGTATATTTGTGTTCCCTCTCTCTTCTTAGAAATAAACCACTAACTAAAGTAAAAGTAGCTTGGCTCATAGTGTTTATAGTGCTTACGTACTCAAATGAACCTCTCCTACCAGTTACATTTTAGTCTAGACTCTCTCCATTTGGCAAACTAACTGGCCTTCCTATCTTCGGTTCTGCAGGATTATCAACACCTTCCCAAAGCAGACATATTCGCTTTGGGATTAACGATTGCAGTGGCTGCAGGAGCAGGGGAATTACCCTCCAATGGCAGCGCGTGGCATCATATCCGCGAGGGCAACTTTCCAGATGTTCCTCAGGAGCTCTCAGAAGACTTTCACAATTTGCTCAAGGTGACATTTCCTATGAGACAAAGAGAAGACAAAGTGTCTATTTTTTTTAAAAAAATTGATGGCAAGTGGTGGTGTGGGGGGTTGGGAAATGGATCTGTTGGTAGTGCCATTAATAGAAGGAAAAAGCAACTGACTGGGAAGGCCAGAAAAAGACACAGGACAGATTGAAAGCTTCTCAAGAAAACTTGGAAGACATCATGAAATCTTTCATGTTATAGATTTAAAATCCTGTTATGAAGATTTTTTTTTTCATTTGCTTTTCCTAATAACTTTAAAATGGGTAGGTGACACCTCTTTCTGCATTGGAAGAAACCCAAGGATCTAAGTATATTTGAATTTTATATTCACAGTCAATAAGTAGTTAACTTAAAAATTCAAACTTGACCTTTCCCCTCCCACTTCTGGGCTTTAACTATTAGCAATGATACAGTGATGACATTACTGAAAGAAAGAGTTTCAAGTGTATATAAAAAAGTATACTATAAGTGACTGTTGATAATTTACACAATACCAGCAATTGGAGCTATTGGAGAAAAGGCATAATGTCAATTCAAAAATCTGCATGTTCCTTGTACCAAATAATATCAGAGTAAGTGTAGGGAGATAAAAAGGAGGATATCATGTTGAAATGGAGATACAAAAACACTGTCAAGAAGCTTAGAATCCTATCAAGAAAACAAAATGCATATATGACTAACTTCATGGCTTAAGAAACAGGATTGGTTAGGATCCCTAAAATAGGCTTAGAAATATCTGCACTCTTTGACATTATATTTGAGTTTCATAGTTTACCTCCAGTCTTCAAATATAGTTACAAATGTGTTCTTCCGACTTCCTTTTGCTTTCTTGAAAGGAGGCAAACCTTTCCTTACAAGGGTCTCTTGTTCACTGTCTAATCTGTTACAATATGTAAGTTGCTCTTAGATTTAGTTGATATTCACTGAACACCTAAATGTTGGCCCTATGCTAAGCAATACTGTACAAATCTGGGCACAGTGATATACACCTGTAATCCCAGCAACTCAGGAGGCTGAGGCAGGAAGATTCCAAGTTTGAGGCTAATCTCAGCAATTTAGCAAGACCCTGTAGCAAAATAAAAAACAAAAAGGAATAGGGATGTCAGCTCAGTGGTAGAGTGCCCTGGGTTCAATCCCCAGTACCAAAAACAAACAAAAAAACCCAAAACCAAAGCTGTAGGTGAATATTGTTAATTAATTTAATTCTCACTATAGTCCTAGAAGGAGAATACTGTTATTCCAAATTTCAGGTAAGGGAAACTGAGCTTCAGTAAAGTTTTCAAAGTAAATGGCAGAGTTGGCTCAAAAATTCGTCCCCAAGTGTTTTCTTCATTATATGACACTACTGGTATCTATCTATCTATCTATGTATCTATCTATGTATCTATCTATCTATCAATTATTTCCTACCATATTCAAATCCTCTTAGGTTACAGCCATATCTACCTGGAGATAGTGTTTTAGGAATATTGTTGAAGTGGTTCATTATTAAGTGATAAAGGAGCAGAACCAAAAGTTGGGTAAACTGGGCTTTGATCTTGGTTCTTCCTGTTGAACTAGTCACTTGGACTTTTTACGTAGCACCTCAGCCTTTTCCATTTTAAAATATGGCATTAGACTAGTTAATCAGCCTGCCTTCTTTAAACCATGATAATTAAAGACAGGTCAAAGGTGTTGACAACTGATGTTACCAGACATGGACGATTCTTCTGTCCAAGGTGGAGCTAAGTTTTCATTTATGTCTCCTTCCCTCTGCACAAAAGAAAATCAGTGTTTCACAAAATCCACCAACATAGGCGGGGTTGGAACTGGCTCAAGTGGGGAGATTTTCCCAGTAGTGAAGCTTCTTTCTGTTCCTTCCTTTTGGCCCTACTTCATCAGAAAATGATCCACCCTGATCCAGCTGAGAGACCTTCTGCAGCAGCTCTGGCCAGAAATGGAGTTCTCTGGCCTTCCCTGGGGAAAACACAGGAGCTCCAGAAGCAGCTGAAGTTGGAAAAATCCAAGATGGCCATACTGGAAAGGTAGATTTGGGGATGTTGGAGTCAAGAATGAGTCTATTGCAAATCATTCACATCAGTATGAGCAGGCTGGTGTGCTTCTGTGGATTTACATTTACATATATTGTACATTATAATACCTAGGCCCCTGTCCACAAGCAGACTGTCAGCACTGAGGCCTTTTACAGCATGGGACTAGTTCTGTGACTAGGTGGCTTGAGAGAAAATTCCAGATAATACAAAGGAAGCAAGAGGGAGGAATACAAGGAAGTACCACTGGTAAAGAAAACTTGGGATTCTGAGGGACAGCAGGTGTCTTAAGTAACTGGTGGGGATCACCTCACCTTGGTTAGTGAGTAGAGACCTATTTGAGAAACTCACTAAGCTTCAGTGTTAGGCAGGCAGATATACTATCATGGTACATATTTAGAAGAAGAGTTTTCTGAACAAAGAAAGCAATTCAATTGCTTATTTGCATAAGCTTGTATTCTTTTATTACCCATTCCTTCATTAAACAGATGGGAATTAATCAGATGGGGTAAGGTTGGGGAAGAGGTCCGGCAGTGTGTTTGAGCAGTGTTCTGAAGGAATTTTTAAGTGATTATTATATTGTGTGCTGTTGAAAATACAAAAGGAAATGGAAAAGGGTCCTTGTCTGAAGTAAGCTTACAAGTCCAACTACTCTTAGCTACAAAGTCCATCTTGAAAAGAAAGATTAGTTTGAAAGCTTAAAAAGTCTCTGATATGATTTTTTAGTAATAAGTTGCAGACTAAAGACCCTGGATCTTTAGTCAGTTAATTATTCCAAATAAGCCACTTAATAATTATCTGGCTCTAGTTTTGAGTTCCATTGTCCATGGAATAAAAAGAAAGTATTTATCCACATATGGTCACAACAAGGTAAGTGCCTCTTACAGTGTAGTATGTATATTCTGTGAAGCTTCCAGTGACTGTCATCAGCCAGTACCAGTGGTGGGCACCCATTACAGAGATGAGGCAGATGGCATCTTGAAATTGTCTAGACCAGAGTCTGGCAAACTTGTTTGGTAAAGGGGTAGGAAGTAAATATGTTTTGCTTTGTGGGACATATAATCTCTTCTATAATGACTCAACTTATTTGTAATATAAAAACAGCCGTTGATTATGATTGTGTTTGTCTGTGTGTGTGTAAACAAATGAGTGGCTGTGTTCTAGTATAACTTTATTTACAAAAATAGGTGGCAAGCCAGATTTGACCAGGAGCTGTCTTTTATTGACCCCTGTAACTTTCATGTATTGACTGAAAAGCTGTATGCTTATGCCCCAAGGATCTGGGAAATTGAATCTACCATGTGCCATGACATGTATTTCAACTTATTAAATGACAATCATAACCACAGGAACTGAGCTTTCTATTCTTCATATAGTGCAGGCTTGTTTCTGTAAACCTGAAATAAAAAGAAACTGATGTGTTAGTTGTGGTCGTAAATAATATCTATAATTAGGGAATAAATAACCTATGTTTTCCTGCTTTCATTTCAGGAAACTGAGAGAAACCCAGCAGGCCTTATCCTCTATGGAAGACGCCCACCATAGTGACCCTGAGATCTCTGGGGCTCACACAGGATCAAGAAGAAAAAAACACCTGGTGGGAGGAAAGACTGCAAAGTCTTCAAGCTTTACCTGTGGGGAATCTTCTCCATAAGAACTCATTTCATACCACCAGTCTTTTACCATACAGCCTCCAGAAACAGACACTGAACATCCAAATTTCCCTGTTACAAGAAGGAAAAATTCACCAATTTGAATGCCCAAGACTTCAAAAGTCACCTCATTTAGTATTTACAGTCAAGGTCATAAAGCTACTAAGGTTCTTATCAGCAGTGGTCCCAGGTATACTAATTGGTAGCCACTTTTCTTCCCTATTGTTATATTCCTAATGCCTCCTGTCAATAACTTATGCTTAAATTTTCTGATGAACAACAAGAAAACGGCCTCTGAAGTGAAAGAAGGGAATAGCCTTTGGCTTGGCCTGTGGACTGAGAAATGTCCAAGGACCCCAGGGACTCTCTGTACATAGAAAGCAACAATATTTGTCTTTGAGTTGAAGTAATAGCTTACAAGAAATGTGCCTGGAATTCAACAGTGCTTCCCAAGGTGCATGATACTATTCCTAAAAGTGAATGCCCACATTCTGAGCAAGTAGTATTTTCTGGATGGAGGTATTCTCTTCTCTGATACTGTATTTATAAAATTAATGGCCCTATATTATGTGAGGTAGGTAGCAATAAGAATATGTATAACTAGGACATCCCTGAGCTGGTTAACTTGTGAAAAAAAAAAAAAAAAACCACGGGAGGTAGAGGGTTCAAGGAAATTTGATGTTACTGCTCTCTCTCAGTCTATTTGACTTAACCATCTTGTGGCTGTTCTGGTTGGTTTGGATTTTTCTGGATATCAACAATTTCTCTTGATTTTAGCAGAATTTGGCTTTGCTTCTGTGATTTTAGCATATTTTATCCAAATCCTCTTCTCTGTGTACATTTTCATAGGAATTTATAAATAAAGATTTTAATTTTTTTCAGAGCCAAATATGGGTAAAGCATTCTTCTTTGTAACATGTAATTAACAAATAATGAGAAATTTATGTTAGAAAAATGGATGGTTGAGTGGGTGAGAGAATTCAGTTGATTCTAACACATCTTGTCAGTAAGGCTTCATAGGTCCAAAAGCCAAGAATAATGGTCAGGCTCAGCTATACAATAATTTTGACCATAAAAGTGATAACTTCTTTATGTCATGTTAATGATGGTAATCTGTTAATAATACATTGATTTTTCTGTTGCCTAATTTTCTTTTCCCTTCATTTTTAGAATCAATATCTCTCTCCTCCCCACCACCCCTCTAATAAGCCCTCATACAATTCTTCTGTCTTGGAATAGCAAGTCTTTCCATGCGGTCTATTTCCATTGGATAAAGACTAGTAAATAAAATGGGGTTGGTTTATTGCTTGCCATTTCCTCAACAAGACTCCCTTCCTATGTTCCTTGCAATACAGTGCCAGGTCAATCACATTTGTGGTTTTAAAAACAGGTATGTTATTAAGTGTGCAACGTATAGTCCAGAATTCTTTGGTTAAACTAGTCTCAGGTATTATAGCTACCACTAGAAGGGTCTCTGACCTTTCCACTGTGTTCCTCAGAGTCTAACTTCACACCTGAATGAACCTGATGCCAGATTGGTTGGGCTCCCTCTGGCTCTGTGAGTTTCCATGGCAGCAGTTATCACAATAGCCCATAGCTGCATGGATACTATTGAGTATGAGAGGAACTAGGTCTTCATTGGGTTTGAGATTTCATCTTTTCCACTTCAGTTGGACATTTACCCCTTGCTTGGGTAAATTCTGATTTTGCATCGATATCATGACATAACTCAAATTATTATAATTATTTCATTAACATTATTGGGCTGGTGACATTAAATAAGTTAAATTTAAAAACTCTGGAAATGTATCCTCCACAAACCCTGATACCTGAAGATGCCAACAGACAATCTTGAGATTTAGAGAAATACTTCTGTGCTCTACTGGTCTAGCTCTAACAGGTCATTTATCTAAGGTTGTAGAAGGATTATAACTAAAAGACTAATGTTAACCTCCCAGCCTGGACAATTAAATCTGTACAATTTCAACCTTAAATTACATTAAAAAAATTGTCAGTTTTTTTTTAAATTAATAAGTAGCCACAATAACTCTAAAGTGATGCTAAACTTGCTTTTGAACCACCTTAAAAATACATGTTAGTAATCAGTTTAGGCAGAAGTGCTATAATAATTTTCCAACAGTTATGAGACTTTAGAAAAACTGACTTTAAAAGCAAAGTGAAAACTTGATTCAAATTTTCAAAAAAAAATTTTTTTAACAGTATCAAAACTTTCCAAAGCTTCCTATTTATGATAAAGCATTGCAAACCCTGTTCTCTATCACTGGATGCCCATAGCTGAAATTCTTTTTTTTTTTTAAATTTATTTTTTAGTTGTAGGTGGACACAATACATTTATTTTATTTTTCTGTGGTGCTGAGGATGGAGCCCACTGCCTCACGCATGCTGGGCAAGCGCTCTACTTCTGACCCACAACCCCAGCCCTCTTCTTTTTGGCGCCCTCTTGAATTTTGAGGCCTCAGCACTTTCTCTACATTCCTTCATTTTTCTGCTTACGGCTTCAGGAGGCTTGGGGCATTTGTTTTGTTCCTAGTCTCAATTACACTACTTCTTCCCTTCTTGGGCGGGACTGGGAACCTCATTCCTTTGGAAATTTAAAATCGCCGCAACTCACCGCTTGGCGGCGCCGACGCATCCTTTTCCGCCTGGAATGAAACTTCCAGGAACTCCTAAGTGAAAGGACGTGTTTCTCGCAGTTTTGACCGGCAGCATTTTTACGGAGCACGCCTCTGACTTCCTGTTTTCTCCTTCCTATCGCAACCATTACGTCTTCAGTGCACCGGAAGTGACCCTTGCGGGGGGGATTGCCCGGTCTAGCGAGTCAGGTGAGGGAGGGTGTGAGGAAGGGCGCGAGCCGTGTGTTAGTGTTCTTGAGTGCCTGCGAGTTTCTGGAGGTGGTGCAGTGTCGCTGTCTTTCCCTTCTCACTCGAGGCGTGGACTCTGCGGTTTCTCCCAAGTTGTTAGGTGGGAGTGTCACGTTTGGGAAAGGGCGTCCGTCCCTCCCGGGCGCTCGCGCGTCTCCGGGGCACTTTGGCCTTTGCCAGCCGGGATGGAAGTAGTGGTTTTTGCAGCAGCACCGGGTTTCAGATTGTAGTCCTTTAAAGACACTAATATTTATTGAGCTCTTGCTGTGTGTTAGGCACTCTTAGGAGTCTAGAATATGGGAGTGAGTTAATCAGGCAATCTTTGCTTCGAGAGCTTGTGTTTCAATACAGTTTGAGAAGACTGGATTGGAAGTGGGAATAATTTAGAACCAGTGTTTAAAAATACGGGTTGGAGGAAGAGGAAATTAAGTGGGCTCGAAAAGAGGTTTCTGGAGGGGGAAGGGGATCCTCAAATGTGCAGGGATGTTGATGTGGGCGCAAGTTAGAAGTGCATGAAAATTATGAGTGCAGTTAGGAATTTAGGATAGTGAATATGTTTCTCTTGCTATAAGATGCAGTATTTAATTTATCTTTTTTTTTTTTCTTCAGGAAAAGCTAAGTTTAGATTGTAAGAAAAGAAAATAGAAGCCATGTTTCGAAGACCTGTATTACAGGTAGTCACTTTTCTGTATTAGTGCTAAACTGTACTTTTAACAGCCATAATGATCTGATTTCTGTAGGCTTTTGACTGCAGGGACAAAAGACCTTTAAGTCTACCCATCACCTGTGTGTACTCACTGGACAGGGAAGTTCAGAAATGAATTTTGCCATGTAAATAATGTTTACTAAAACAAAAAATTTCAAATTTATTCACCTATGTAATAAGAATCATTAATTTTTAAAATGTGTAACTTGAATATAGATCAGAGAGTATTTAAGGTTTTAAATGATACAAGGACTATAACAATCATTGTTTCAGCATTTTTTTCTATGAGACATATAGTTCCTTTTCTCACCATCTATCTCCTTTTACTAAATGCTTCCCTCTTCTCATCTTCTACAGTGAGGACTGCTCAACTCTTTGCATCACCACAGATTCACATTGCCTACCTTCAGTCTCATTCTGAGCAATTTGGCTCCTTATCTATTCCCTCATCCTGGCCATCTTTGAGTCATATTACCTAGATTACCGCTTTTCCTTACCACATTTGGGTACCAAGTCCTGTAGATTCTCCTTAATAATACCTCTATGACTCCTCATCTTCCCATTAAGTCTAGTGAAGAATCAGTTCCTCTATGAAATCTATTGACATCTTTGACCAATTGTCATTTGATTTTATAGTCTTAGATCCCCACTTTAACTTATAGGTACTTCTAACCTTTTAAGATTATGTGAAACATGGAAAAGTTATTGCTAGTTGGGTACAGTGACTGAGTCCTATAATCCCAGTTACTTGGAAGGCTGAGGCAGGAGGATTCCAGGTTTAAGGCCAACCTTGGCAATTTATTAGGACCCTGTCTTAAAGGAAAAAAAAAAAAAGTGCTGGGGGTGTAAAGTGCCCCTTGTTTCAATTCCTAATACAAAAACAAAAGAAGTTACTACTGTCTTGCTATCTTGATAGTACTATAGTACTAAGATATCTTTAAGATCAAATATTCAGAAGTTAAAATTTAATTTTAAAAGTCGTATACAAGTTAATATTTCCCTATTTCTACTTCTTTAGTTGTTCTTAATTTTCATCTGTGCCTAATGTAAGACATTGTTATTTTTTAAGATTTATGAGTTTTGGCTTCTCCGACCACTTAAATTAGTATATTGCTATGCTCATGACACAGTTACTAGTTAGCAGTTTGAGTCTCTAGTATGTTGTAACTTACTGTGTTTGTTTTCTTATCCACCTTCTATCCTGAAATTTATGATAGGCTTATATAGCTCACAGCACCCAGGAGTGGGTATTCATTTGATGGTGTTCTTCTGCTTTTTATATTAACAGTACTGCTGCTTGAAAAATGTTTCTCTGATAGAATGTCTAGCTCTCTGAATTCTGCATCCAGTGATGTATATTCCTACCTTATGAAGGTAGGAGTAAAGGTAGGGCTATACCTTGAACAAAGTATCTTTGAGGCAGCAGAGGACAGTGGGAAAATCAGCAACCTTGTTATTAGACAACCCTGGATTCTAGTCATTACTTACCATTTATTTCATACAAGATCTGGGGTAAGTTCCTCACTCTGAGCTTCAGTTTACTTGGGTCTAAAGTGGGGATAATTTTACATAATTTACATATTTAGTTTTAGGGTTACTTGATAAGGTAAAGCTCTTTGTTGGTATTCAGTAATAATATCTGTGATTAACTAATATGTGGCAGTGGCTACTCTTTTCTGATGACTCTGTGACTTGGATAACTATATCTTTGTACTTAACCATGTTTGCTTATCTTATGTCATTTTCCTTGATAACACTGAAAACATGAAGTTTTCCATCAGATGTTTATACAGCTTTACAACTGGCCAAGTCCACTGTAGAAGCTGTGTGTTTTTTTTCCCAATAGTCTTGTGAAGCAGATGTTCATCATCATTTTTGCTAATTTTTAAGTGAGACACATTAGGCTAATCATGTTTGAGTTATCTCCTATAGGGAGCCTGACTTTGGAACCTATCCTTTTGTATATCCAAAAGATATTCATGTAATGAATATATGGATTTTTTTTTTTTTTTTTTTTGGTTCTGGGGATTGAACTCAGGGGCACTCAACCACTGAGCCATATTTCAGTCCCTTTTTTTGTATTTTATTTAGAGATAGGGTCTCACTGAGTTGCTTAGGGCTTTTGCTAAGTTGCTGAGGCTAGCTTTGAACTTGCAATCCTCCATCCTCATCCTACCAAGCTCCTAAGTATTATAGGTATGTGCCACTGTGCCTGGCTTTGGAATGTATTGTTTTATTTATTTATTTATTTTGGAGTTTAACCTATTTTTCATTCTCTGTTCTTGTGGCTAAGAGTGAGACTTAAGTAATGACATTGTTTGTATTACATATACCCTAACAGTAGTTTGATAATTACTTTTTATGTTATTAATGAGTATTTATAAATACATTAATTATAAAGTACTATTCCTTTTTCTCCTCTCCTTTGGTCTAATGATGTACTGAGTCTGTACCCATATTAGATAAATCTAAGTTTCTTAATTTCTAAATTGTGTATTCAAAATATAAATAATATACCATTTATTTATTTATTTATTTTTAAAAAGTCAATCTATTCTTTTGAGTGTAAAAAGTAATTTTTGCTTTTTTCTATGTTTCCAGCTAATGAAAGCTGGATTTTTTTTTTTTTTTTTTGGGAGCAACTCTTGGGTACAGATTAGATTTACAGTTACTGTCATGCTTTCCTTTGTGGAAGACATACAATTTTGATTTTATGTTTCATGTGCAAACATAGAAGTGCCATAATCACAAAGATTACCACAAAAGAAACAGAGGACTGTAAATTAACTCTTGGGCATGTTCTCTACTACCTTCTTCATACCTGTGGCTTCTGTGGTAGGCTGCTCCAGAAGTGTTTGCTTGGTCTTTCTGGCTTTGTATGTTGAAAGAACATGGGAAAAGCTTTTCTCTTCTGGAACTCTTCGAAACTACTGCCTAAGTGATGAACAAATGTGAGCAGGTCTTCTGTTTGCCTTTGCCTTTTCTAAAAAAGTAAAGCCATGTTGCTTGTTTGTTCATCAGGTACTTCATCAGTTTGTAAGACATGAGTCTGAAGTAGCTAGCAGTTTTGTTCTTGAAAGATGTAAGTAGCCATTTTCTAAGTTTGCAGTGTTACTTATGGTACTATTCTAGTATTCTCAAAGTGATGTAGAAGAGATGTGCTGGGTTAAACTGTGTTAACCATTATGGCTTTGGCTGTATTTGCTTCTTAGGTTGCTTGCCCCATCAGGCTGTAAGGCCCCTTCTTTTCTTTCTTTCGTTTTTTTTTTTTTTTTTAAATAAATTGGGCCTTTGTTTTTGTTTTTTTAAACTGGGGATTGAACTCAGGGCCGATTGACCACTGCCTCACATTCCCAGCCCTACTTTGTATTTTATTTAGAGACAAGGTCTCACTGAGTTGCTTAGCTCCTCACTTTTGTTGAGGCTGGCTTTGAACCCTCAATCCTCCTGTCTCAAGCTGCTGGGATTACATGCAAACACCACCGCACCTGGCAGGGCCCTCCTTATCAGCCAGATACTACTCACTCTTTTTTTTTTTTTTTTTTTTTAAATTTTTTATTGTGGGTTGTTCAAAACATTACAAATTTCTTGACATATCATATTCCACACTTTGATTCAAGTGGGTTATGAACTCCCACCTTCACCCCATACACAGATTACTACTCACTCTTGTTATCACTGTCCTGCTGGACGATTTCTCATATTTGGTTGTCTGTGTCTTCTAAGGTTATTTTAAATTGTGAAAGATACTTTTTCACAGAAATATTCCTTTTTTTTAATAAAGGTTTTTAAATTTCAGATTTGTTTTAGTTCCACAGACAGTTCTTTTAAAAAAGGTACTATACATAAGATAAAGAATTTGAATTTTTTTTTTTGTGGGGCTTCTTTCTGTTTTTTTCTTTTTTGCAATCCCTTTCCCCCGCTGCCAATCTTCCTTTATTGGTCCCTTTAACTTAGTATGTTGACTGCTAGTATTTAGGTTTTACTTAATTCAGAGTTTAAAGTTGAAATGATATTTTTAACTGTTCCTTTTCTAGATAATTCTCTCAATCTGAGGTGTTTAGATTTCTTTAAATGTCAACTTCAGCTGACATAATGAATTATCACAGAGTGGGTGGATTAAACAATAGGCATTTATTTTTCACAGTTCTGGAGACTAGAAGTCCAAGATCAGGGTGCCAGTATGGTTGGGGCCTTACTGGCCCCTTGGTGAGGGCCTTATTCCTGGCTTGCAGATGTGTTAGCTTCCTTACTGTTTTCACATGGTAAAGTGAGCAACTCTGGTCTTTTCCTCTTATAAGGGCATAAATCCCATCATGGAGGCTCCCTTCATCACCTTATCTAAACCAAATCAATCACATTGGGACTTAGCACTTCAAGGTACAGATTTTGAGGTGGGTACAGCAGTTTTTTCAGTCTTATTTTATTTCCTTTTTCAGCTCTGAATCGTGTGCAGTTACTTGGGCGAGTAGGTCAGGACCCGGTCCTGAGACAGGCAGAAGGGAAAAATCCAGTAACAATATTTTCTCTAGCAACAAATGAGATGTGGCGATCAGGGGAGAGCGAAGAATATCAAATGGGTAAGTATAAAAGCCTGGGGTTTTAATTTTATCATCAATAAGTAGAAATTATTTATTGCCAGTTATCTTAAATAGAGATAAGCTACTTTCAGACAAGGTTTATCTTTTCTCATTCTGTTGTTCTTTTAAAAAGTTGTGAGTTTGATTTTCCTGGGCATGTTGTCCACTGGCATTTGTTTTGTCTGCTAGCATTGTAAAAATTTCCTTTTCTTGTGATTTAGGTGACATCAGTCAAAAGACAACATGGCATAGAATATCAGTATTTCGGCCAGGCCTTAGAGATGTAGCATATCAGTATGTGAAAAAGGGGTAAGTTACAAAAGGAAGGGTCTTTTGGATTAAATGAGTTAAAGAACCAATAATAACAAGTGTTGTCATGGCAAGGAACATGTAACAACTCCTTTGTTCTTGAGGTCTTATATTAAGAAGTACTGTACATTTCTTAATACTATATGTGTGGAATGTAGCTATGTGTGTGACTCATTCAAAGGCATGTAAAATCTTTAGTCTTCTAAGAACTTATATTTTAGGGCATACATAAGGTATGTATGTAAAAATACATACATACCTTATGTATGCCCTAAATAGCAGTAGATTGGGGCAGGAAATAAGACCAGTGCCTTAACTGCCACTGCAGCATGTGCTTTTTGAACAACTGCAACAGGTCCTGTGCCTCTGTGATCAGGGATCCTGGAGATAGGTAGTGTCTTTTCTTCTTCGCATTCACATGACATTCCTAGCAGAGGATCTGGAATGTCTGAAGCCTGACACTGAGTTGTTATTCTCAGTATTTATTTTATATTTTGTAATTTTCTATAGATTTAGTAGTTCCCTTTGTAATGCTTAGATTAATTATCATAAAAATGTCTTTTCCAAATTCTCAGGACAAATGGATGTGTTTAACAGCAGTTACATTAATAGTTATGTTGTTTAGAAATGTACTTGTTTTGTAGAAATAAAACATTTAATAGAAATAATTTCAGCAATGATTAGAAATTTTGTCAATAACAGCATACCTTTTCTTCATATGTATCTCCGTTGTCCTTCTTGTGTGTGCACGTGTACACATACAAATATGTAAGAGGATATTTCAAGGAAAATGTCAACATACAATTTTACCTACTGATTCATGAATCTGCGTGTGTGTATGTTTTCTTTGATATCCAGTCATTTCACTTGTTTTGTCTTCTTTCTATATTTTGCTTCACTTTTCTGGTGATGGTGGACTCTGAGAACTGGTGCTGTCATAGTAATTTTCTGCCTTTTAAAATCACGGTTATGATTGTCATCTAGCTCAGTCTTCTATATATATATAGTGTAGAAATTGTCTTAGTAATTGACTCTGAGTGATATGCCAAACTGAAAACCTCAATTTTGAGTTTTAATAATCTAAGCTCCTTAGAAGTAAAGTCATCAATTTCACTATAGAAGAGAATTGATAAATGAGTTAAAATCAGCATATCTGTTAGGAAGTCTAAACCCAGAGGTTAAGTAAAATCACATTTTGGAAATCAGTCCTAGAGATTAATAGATGCCCCTAAATTGGTCTTATGTCTTTATAATCTTAAGGCTACCTCTTTTTTTCTTTTAATTTTGTCTTAAGATTTAATTTTTTTTTCCAAAAACTCCTATAAAGAAAATAGCTAAAGGATGAAAACATTGTTTTTTACATATCAAGTCTGTCTATACTTTATGTTTCTGTACTCTTAATTTTGAACTTTAAAAAGTGATAGAAAAAATGGAATTATGTGTAATTACAGATTTAATTCTTAGTGTGTATTCATTACCACTCCTGATCTGACTCTTTGTAAAGCATGTTAGAGTTTCCAGAATAAAAACTGTGAATTATTTATAACAGGTCTCGAATTTATGTGGAAGGAAAAATAGACTATGGTGAATACATGGATAAAAATAATGTGAGGCGACAAGCAACAACAATCATAGCTGGTAAGAACCTTGTGATAATAACGTTTTTTTCTCCTTTAAAAGCTTGACTATGGGCTGGGGTTGTGGCTCAGTGGTAGAGAGCTTGCCTATATGTCTTAATTCTTTGTTTAATGACAGATTTCCTTTTGTCTTCCTCTTTCTCTTTGCTCTAGAGTTCATGTCTTAACAACATGTTGATATTATAATTTGTTATAAATAATAATTATATTTACTTACTAGTAAGTTTATTGGAAAGTAAATTGACTTTGAAAACCAGCATAGGTATTTTCCTATCCTCTTTTATTTTTTATGATAAACTAAATTTGTGAGTAAACTTTAGATTGTTCAAACTCTTGGGTGTTATGAACCAGCAAAATAGAAGCATTTCAGATTATCTTTTGATTTTTTTCTTGTCATCAGTTGTCATTAGCATGATCAGTTAACTATATGTTGATGACTGATAGTAAATATGAATAGAACTTCATTTCTGTTTGAATTTAAGAAAACAGTTTAATTTGGTCGACCTCTTTTATAGGCCATATTTTTTTTTTCTTAGGAATCATACCGGAACTTAAAAATAGCCACCAGTGGATGGCACTGTTGGCTTTTTATAGTGATTTCAGTTCTTATAATCTCTTTCTTGACTTACCATTCTATACCTAAGTATTCTATTTTGGAAAGACTGCAGTTATGAAATCATGAACAGATATTGTAAATATAGGTCATTGTATAATGTCTACTTTGTGGATAATTTTATAGTTATAGGAATCTGAAATTTTTGGAGTTATGCAGGAGATAATGCTTATCTATTTTCCCTTGTTTGCCCTTAGCTAACTCCCTGTGGAATAGCATTGCAGAGTAATGTCTGATATTTTCAGATAAAAATGCTTATTTCTATAGTAATTATTGTAAAGCTTTCCCCCAAATGGGTATATAAAATCATTCTGTCTTAAAATTAAGAACAAAATTTTTCTGTGAGTTTTTGAACTTACTTAAAAACATATCTGCAACACTAACAAGGCCACATGGGAACCTTTTCCTTTCTTCATACCTAGCATATGAAATGATGTGCATTGGTCCTTTTCTTTGTGAGGATGTGCTGTCTGGTGTCATGGCCTCTGTTGAACACAGCAGACATTCAAACTTGTGACCAGTTTTTTTATAGAAAGTTTTTGTTGGGATGATTTTATCTTCTGTCTTCAGGAAAAACAGATACCTCAGCTTTTCTAACAAGGCGAATTGTTGAACAAACTGCCTGGGAAGCCCAATTTTTAGCTCTATTTATGCCTATTTAGTTAACTTTTCATGAATGCAGCAAAAGTTATTTAACATTTGGAAAACTTATTATAGCACTAAAGTATGTATATGTTAGAGAGGAATTATTAAGTGAAATGGAAAAGAGTTCTGAAATTAATATTTGTCTTTTGGCTTCTTTACAGATAACATTATATTTCTGAGTGACCAGACAAGAGAAAAGGCATAAAATGGATGATTCTTCTTTGACCATTGTTTGGTACAGTTCCCTTTCTGAATCATGTGTAGTCTTTATAGTTTCTAAGGACAAGAATTAAAGTGCTCTTTTGTATAAATGAGTGGTAATATTTTTCCTGTCGCTGCCTCTCCCCTTTTTGTAGCATAAACATCAGTAGCTCCTGTCAATTTTTGTGTGTACTGGTTGTTTATTCTTTTATGAGTAGTTTCAAAATAGTGAACTTTGAGGTTCATTTACCTGTGTTATAACAAAAGGATTAATATATCCTTTGGAAGGCCTTCTGCTTTGGGGCACATTTCTATCACAGTATACTGTTCAGCCACTCAGCATATATTGAGCATTTCTGTATGTTAGACATTTATCCCATAGTTGTAAATGTCGACTTTCTCACCTATTTGCTCTACACATTTGAAAGCAAGTGCTGAATCTTCTCTGTGTACCTCTACTTTAACCAGTATGTAGCTCAGAAGAGCCACTCAATAAATGTTGACAGATGAATGATCCCAGTGGGATATTGACCTTTAGTTCAATTTGAAGGTGTTTGCTGAACAGTGGTTAGTGTCTAACCTAAAACTATTTCAAGAATAACCTATCTTCTTCACATCTCTTGCTTTAGGGCAGTTTAGTTGTAACATTTATGAGATATAGTTTACCAGCAGTAGAGCCCTGAATATAACTTGAATTGAAGTAGTTTATCTCTAGATGCTCTGGTTTCATTATTCTCTGTTTCCAAGCCCCACTTTGGTATTCTTTTCAAAATCTCTTCTAGAGATTTTGATATTTCAGGGGGTGGGGTGAGGGTCCTTTTTTATTTATTTTTTATTAGATTCTGGGATTGAACCCAGCACTTTGCATCTGCTATTGGCAAGTGCTTTACCATTGAGCTAACCTCCTGACCTGAACTTGTGAGGGGGAAGTTCCCTCAGAAGTTTCCTTAGCTTTATCTTATCCTTGCTTATCCTTTCCTTAGCTTTAAGGGAGTTTCCTTAGCTTTATCCTAGCCTTGCCCAGGACAGTAGAAGGTTACTATTTCCTCCTATCAGCTGTCTTTCTTTCTGCAGCTGAAACCACTAATCACAGTATTAACTCTGATGTCTAAGCTCACACATTGATCTGTGTGGTAATATAATCATCATTCCTTTTTGCTACTATGTTCCTTAAGCAGCATTGAAAGTAGATAAAAATTATCCTTTGAGCAATGCTTTGTCTTCTCTCAGCAAAGCCAATTTTATATTTTTTCAATGTAAGAAGTTAGGCAGATTAGCATGTCTATTTAAACAAAATGATAAATCTGTGCTCTGAGAAAATCACATAATGAACAAAAGAGCCTAATTACTAACCCAGAGCATTTCTGATTCTAGGATTCAGTGGCATAATAGTGCATCCTTCAGGATCATCTCAGTGAGCTGAGGAGATCTTCTCCAAACTCTTCTGCTGGAAATTGCCTCTTACCCTTCTGTCCCTGAAAAACCATTAGGCTGAATCAATTTTCAGTCAGGTTGAGTCCCCTTCCTGCATATTGATTCTGCTAGATCCAGTTGTCCCTAATCAGATAGACTGGATCATAACCTCTGCCTTCCCCATCTGCTGAGAAACTTCCTAAAGCTCTTACAGACTGTAGGGGTCTTCTAGCCCAACTTCAGGTTTTTTAATTCCCTTTTTCATGGTGTGAAGGCCCAACCTGCAGAAAATTGCCCTATGATTTTCATTTGGGGATTCCATGTTAAATGGAAAGATGAGCATAATATGTCAAAAAGTGGGAGAAAAAGTACCAAGCAACATGTGTGATGTTATCCCATATTTGAAAAGTTATAACTGAGTATAAGCTTTAAAAATTTTGGAAGGAGAAATATTGAAATGTTTTGATTACTTCTGGATAGGGATTTTATAAGTGTGGTTTTTCTTATTATATATGCTTGTGTGTGTATGTATTACAACATAAGCATATATTACTTTTATAATAGTAGTAATAAAAATATTTTCATTTTGGGGAAAACATCTTGCCATTATTTCGAAACCAGGCTTATTGTACTTACCAGTACTGCTTCATATACTGGAATGAACAAGAAAAACTTCCATATACTTTCCCAGTCATCTGTACTTTAGCATCTTATGCTCCTTTACTTTATCCACCTTTTAATAGTGTGTGTGCAACCCAAAAGGATGATTTTAAAGACCAGCACGTATGAAATCCATATTTACTGCCAGTACAATTCTTTTGAGTCATCATTTCTCAAAAAATTGTTATGTGATTAATGTTCAGAAACATCAAACACATTTTTTTCTGTGGCTTTTGTGGTATTACATATTGCTAAATGGGTTACAGTTTATCCTTTACAGCTCAGGAAAAAATTAATAGGTGTTTGCTTTTGTTTCCAAAAGAGATCATATAATTCTTGAAGGCAGGGTTATTTTATTCAAATTACCCTTTTGCCCCAATCTGCCTCAACCCAGCGCAGCAGCAACTTTGCATGTTTGTTGCTCAGTTGTAATGAAATATTAACGTGAAAATGAAGGCAGGATCACTTTATTTATTTTCTTTTATGGTTTGCATTATATACTGTGAAGATTGGGGGAGGTAGTAGGAAGAAAATCATTGTAGAAAATAAGCAGTTGGGGCTGGAGTTGTGGCTTGCTGTAGAGTGCTCTTCTAGCACTTGCAAGGCCTTGGGTTTGATCCTCAGCATCACATAAAAATAAAATAAAGGTATTGTGTCCATCTACAACTAAAAATAAAATATTTGAAAAAAAAGAAAAGAAAATAAGCAGTAATCCCCAGGGTTAATGAGAATGAGTTATAGGGAAATCTCTTAAGAGGTAACAATAATCATATTAATGGCTGACATTTCTTAAGTGCTTATTATGTGTTAGACACTACTTTTTATCATTGTCCCATTTAACTATTATCCTAAGAAGAAAGTACCGTTATCTCCATTTTACAGGTGAAAGTAAAAGGCAGGTTAAGTAACTTGTCAAAGCCATGTATCTTATGCATACCTGGAATTTCAGCTCAGGTATGTGACGTTTGCATTTGACTTTTGGCACTGTCTGCTTCGGTTTACACTGATAGGCTTCACTGGCCTTAATACCCACATTCTTCCACTGCTAACCTGAAGAATACCCTGTGCAGGGTATGTTGGAATCATACCAAGAGTCGAATAAATAATAGTTTTTGGTTGGGAGAAGAGTTTCAAGTAAAGGAGAAATACTTAAACCTTAGTCTTTCTGAGTCTTGGTCTGATGATCCTATGTCACAGTTAATATCTCTACCATGGCATCTTAGCATATTCCTTTTGCTTTCCTTGTATTGAGCAGTGTTTCTTTCCTGATTAGAGTAACCTCAGTTTGTTTCTTTCATTGTTTCCTAATTGAGAGTTTTAATTGTCAAGAATATTGTTCAGGGATTTTTCAAGTTTACTCTTTAGAGAATGAGAGTTTTGGCATATTTGGCAGGCATTACTATAATTTGCTTCTGTGCCAGCCCCACAGTCCCACATGCTAGAATAGCATATAGCTTTTTAGGTTGTTGGTATTATGTAGTCACAATAATGAAGCATCTCTTTATTTTCTTATTCTTTGTCCATTTGCTCTCTGCTGTGTTTTGGAGCTCAGGCTCTGTTTTACCACACAGGTGCCTATGTTGACATTATTTACTTTCTGTGTCCTGTTAGGAAAAATAAATGTGGTTTCTAATAATAATAATAGTTCAGAGTTAAGGCTCTACAGTCACACAGCTTAGATTTGAATCCCTGCTTTTCCATTCACCAGCTGGTTAGATTGTTGTTTGTTTTCTTGCAAGTAAAACGGGGATAATAGTACCTATCTTATAGTCCTGCTGTCAGGAGCACAGTAAATACTGCAGTACCTGTAACTTCTTTAATACATAAGACCTGCAACAAGTCCTCAGTATGTGTTGACTGTAATTATTGTAGTTATTTATTTTTTTGGTACTGTGGATTGAACCTAGGTTTGAGTAACCACTGAGCCATATCTCCAATCCTTTTTACTTTGAAACAGGGTCTTGCTAAGTTGCTTAGGGCCTTGCTGAGTTGTTCAGGCTGGCTTTGAACTTGTGATTATCCTACTGCAGCCTCCTGGGTCTCTGGGATTTCAGGTATGCACCACCACACCTGGCAATTATAGTTATTTTAAATAAGGCACATCATTCTTTTTGTCACTGTGCCCATCTTACCAAATCTCATGTGATATTTATGAGAGTTTGTAAACTTTAGAATAGTTCATTGTAATTTTTTTTTTGTTATTAACTTCCATGGATTACTGAGTACTTCCTCTACATTGATAATGTTTTTGGTTGTGTTTCATTTCCCAAGATTATTTACAATTAATCTAGTTATCTTTCTAAACTCCAAAGTCAGTTGAACACTTGCTTTAGGGCATACTCATCTAAAGGACCTGGATGAAAGTAACAAGACTCCAGTGATGAAGGGAACTCAGAATTTAGGATGATGAGGGTGGGAAAGAGGATAAGCAGAAACGTTTGCAGCTAAGTGTGTGAGGAGAAGCACAGGAGAAGATAGGCTAGTCTTTTGTAGAAGAAATAGCATGATCAGAGATCCAGAAACTTAAAAGTTTTTGAGGCATTGAAAGATGAAAAAAGGTGGGTTCAGGCTAGATTGTAAAGGGTCTTGGAAGATTGCAGAGAACTTTGGCAAAGGGGAGCCATAGATGGTTTGCAAATAGGGACATCTCATCAGAATTATGCTTTACAAAGAGAACAACAAAAACATGGGGATGCATTAGAAGGGGGACAGCCTGGAGGCAGTTAGGAAGTTCCTACAGTAAGCTTAGAGAGATGAGTGGAGTGGGGATGAGAGACAACTTGAGGGACATCTGGGATTTGGTTTGATTCAACAAATTATTAGTTTGTTTTCTAGTTCTGTGCCAGTTTCTGAGTTAGAAATACTAAGGAGAATAACTTATAGCTTTTTCTCTTACATATAGGATCTAGTAAGAGAAAAAGCAATAAAGGATGATTTTGAGGTTCCTCTTGGGTAAATACATGTGTGGATAGTGGTACTTCTGAGTTTATGGAACAGGGATGTGGTAGCAGATTTGAGAGGGGGAAAGATATTGAGTTGAGTTTTGAACATAGTTTAATTGTAAAGTTTGTAGCAGATATTGTTAGGGTGTTGATTACATTAATTGAACTTGGAAGAGAACAGGGTTTGTTTTTGACTTCTGTTGAAACATTGTTAACAGGTTTTGTGAGATAAGTTTCAAATATTTTCAGGATTCCAGATTTCTGTTGTAGAAAAGATTTCTAGTTGCTTGTTTATCTAGAATTTGTTTTAATTACATAACGATAATATGATAGGGAGACAACTGCTTTTGAAATAAGTTTTTTCTTACAGTTCCTAAGAGGAGGGGCATACAGTGTGATGCAGAGCTCACTTGAGGAAGCACCAGGGTTGGATAGGGAGGCATAAAGGAAAAGGGCAAAGCACTGTCGTGTTTTTCATGGGGAAGGAACAGGTAAAGCACAGAAGGCTAGCGGAGCAAGTTTAGGATTAGGTAGTTTGAATAATTTCAACAAACTTTGAGCTGTAGGTATGATCCCTAGTTGTCAGATACTTGGCTCTAGGGTGAACAAGGGAGAGGCTGATAAAACACAGTAGAGGGTGTGGATTTAGAATTGTTCTTTTTTTTTTTTTGCATATCAAAGATGTGTTTTCACTAATTCTAGGAAATAACTAATCCTGGAAGGAACAGCCCCTCTCTGGGTCTACAAGGCTCCAAAATGTCCAAGCTTCCTAGAATATAAACAATAAACAAAATGAACACACTACTCAGTCTCCATTGTGTCTTTTATATTTACAGAACCAGTATTTTGTTAGTTATGTCATTGTGCTCACCCTAAGTACTACATTCCTTTTCTTGGTAGTTAGGGTTTGCCAAGTGACTATATACAGAAGTCATTTCTTGGAGCTTCCTGGAAAATTCTTATATGAAGTAATGCTATTTGGAGACTCATACTTTGTGTTTCTCCAGATCCTTATCCCCTGACTTTATCGTTCTTATCTCAAATGCGGATGTGATGCCTAAATCTGTAGCAGACATCCTGAATATACAACAGTCTTCAGGATGGAAGATAGAAGAAGCTGGGATCTGTGATCTCCTGAAGCCATGTGACCAGTACTGCACAGTCTACCTCTGGACTTCTTTGGAAGAAGCAAATAAACCTATACCTTGTTTCAGCCACTTATTTGTGTGCAGTTAAACCTAATCCTTATTAATTTATACATTTTTACCTTTACTCTTATCCTTTCTTTCTGTTATATCACCTTCCACTGAAAATAGAAGTAAAATTTCATCTCTGATCACATAATCCTTTAGATATTTATCCTACATCTCATAAATTTGGGGAGGACACTGGGGCATATAAAGTACACAGAACCTTAGCAGTTAGCCTTAGAAAGAGTTAATAACATCTTACTTTTTTGTCATACAGTTTCATTTTGTGTGTACTCCCTAATGAGGACCCCTAATCAATAACTCCCCATTAAATAAAGAAGCACTTATATTAAGAATAGAAGTACTGTCCTTACACTCCCGGGAGAGTACCGAGACTTCTCACTGCAAACTAACCAGATCCAAAGTACAAAATACTTATTATTGCATCATTATGTGTATTAGTCTGCACAGTCTGCCATATAAAAACACCATAGACTGGGTTTAAACCACGATTTATTTTCTCAAGTTTTGGAGGCTGAAAATTTGAGGTTGGAGTGGCAGCATGATACTGCCAGCAATTTCTGGTGAAGCTTCCTGGCTTGTGGATGTCTGTCATCTAGCTGTGCACTCACATGAACTCTTGTGTGCCTGTGAGGTTTAGGGCCCCACTTTTTTTTTTTTTTTTAAACCTCATTTAATTTTACCTTCTTAGGGGCTTCATCTCCAAACACAAGGTAGAGGTTTATGTTGGGGGTTAGAACTTCAGCATGCAAATTGGGGAGTTTGACAGTGACCTAGTGCAGTTCATAGCATTGGGCTTGCAGAAAAGGGAAAACTCCCAAATGACAAATTTAAAATAGGAACTGAAGTGAGCAATAGAAAATGGTGTTCTGTGATGATAGGTGTCAGTCTTTGCATTATGATTTGGAAATAAAGGTAATGTGCAAAACATGCCTCAAACATTCTTTAATTTTTTTTAAAACAAGATAGGCATGTCTTCTACCACATCTTTTAACAAATTACCTCTACCTAGGTTCTAGCAAGTGCTGTTGAAAGAGGAAAAGGGAAAAGTGTTAATATTAGAAAGAATTCACAAGTGCTTTGATTATATTGAATATGGTTATATATGAATGTAGATATTAAGAGGTGCTGGAAATAAGTATTCAGGTGCCAGCTATAAACAATGAAAATGTAATTTTTATGTCAACAAATGCCACCATTTTGTAATTTTTAAAAAGGTGCCATTTAAAAGCACCAGAACTTGCAAGGAGTCTACAGTACAAGATCTCTATGGTGAACATTATAGAAATTTATTGAATTACATTAATAGAAGAATTCAGGAGTTTGAAGGAACTTTACAAATTATTTCTAAATATATGTTCACCAAACAACATACTCATGAAGAAGAATGAGAAATGGAGTAGATGCTCGCTCAGTTGGAAAGTATTTTTTTTTTAAACCTAATATGGTATACTATTGATACAGAAATAAACAAATCCCAAAGTAGTACGGACTAGTCCACAAACAGACTATGCTTATGTAGAAATAATAGCTGAAGAAAGTGGGATTATAAATCAGTGGCTAAAGTATATTCAATAAATTTGAGGAAATTTGTCATCCATTCCAAAAAAGAAAAAAAAAAAAGAAATCAAGTCTGTATACTGTATGCAAAAATATATCTGGCTATTTGAACTTGTTTGTAAAACATAAAATTTAAAGTTGAAAAAAATGTAAGGGACAATGTCTTTATGATTTGGGTATATGGATTTTTTTTAAAGTGATAAATCTGACTTAAATGTAGCTTTTGTTTATCATAAGTCACCATTAAGCAAAAAGATAAGTCACAAGCTGAGAAGATACTTGCAATCATATAACTGAAATATAATTATTTAAAACACATAAAAGCCTACAAAGTAATGGGAAAAATCTCAATGGAAAAAATGAGCAAAGACACAGAAGGAAATACAAATGACTTAATATATGTAAAAGAGGTTCACTTTGATAATTAAAGAAATGGAAAACAAAAGCCACAAATAGATTTCATGTTAAGCCTTCTAGATTGGCAAATGTCAACATTTGCTAAGGGTGAAGGAGGATGCTGTAGATCAGTGGAAACATGCACAGGAGGGGCAGTGTGAACTGGCATTCCCATTTGGGAAAATGTCTTGTCATTGTTGAAATTTCACATAATTATTCTACCTTTAGGGCATATACCCTGTAGGAAATGCTTGCTGAATATATCCCATGAAAAACATCCAAGGGTGCTCATAGCAGCAATGTACATAGTAGTAAAAAACTGACAACAACCTAAAGGTTCACCAAGAATAAATACTGATGTAGTGGAATATTGTGCAGCTGTATAAAATAATTATAGTTAACATACTAATAGGAATAGCTTTTAGATATACATGAAGTGAGACAACATGAGAAGATTGTAGAAGATCTTTGTGTAATAAAGATTAGTATCAAATAAGTCAACTGTTTATTGTTAGGTACATGTGATGAAACTTCAAAAGTAAAAGGGAATGATAACATTCAAGATGAGTTATCCTGGAAACTTGGGGAAAACAATTAAGGGCAGGAGAGGAAGAAGTATATGGTGGAATTATGGATGTTTATTTTGTATAGCACTATTATATACCCTGTATGTTTATTATTTTCTAGCCCAGGTAGTCTGTTATGTTAGTGAATAAATGATGATCATCACTATTCCTTCTATCTGAATAGTGCATGGGAATTCTCACGTCCAGATTTTCTGACAATAAGCAAATTATTTGCCTCCTGATGTGGTTCCTTTTACATTTTTCCTTCAAGAAAGGACGACACAGGGGGAGATGGGGTATCTCCATCAGCCCACAGAAGGTCCCTGCTAACCATACAGTGCCCTGACCCCTGTGTGTAATAAGAGGACAAGAAGGAACTATGTCTTACTTCTATTGATGATGCAGGGTTCCATTTAATGCAGCCTGTTCTTTAACACAAACCATGTGATACTGTAAAATTTGCCTTGAACTGGTGCATGAAAGGATACCCAGAGGAAATTAGTATACAATGCAAAGTAAGGAGTATATATTTTATTGTAATGGTAGTGGAAAGTGATTGAAATGTTAACTAGCAAAACAAAATGATCAATCAGATTTACATTTTGAGAAGACCACTCTTGTAGCTAAGTGGGGAATATATTATGGGGGAAGACAAGAAATGGGGAGAAATGTTGGTAGGGCATCAAGTAGTACAGATGAGAGATGATGACATCTTGGAGTAGGAAGGAGGTTATAGAAATGGAATATCCAAGGCATATTTTATAATTAAAATGTAAGTCATTGATGGGTGGATACAGGGTAAGAGGAAAGGGAAAAATCAAGTTAATTCTTAGATGGTGCCTGATTTAAGGAACTGGATAATGTTAACGTTTGCTGAAACGGGAAGAATAAGGAAGAAAAGGTTAATTCTTTTAAAGTGGGAATCAACTGAGAAGCTGTTTCGGATGTGATGGTTTTGAGGTGGAAGGGGTGAAATTAGTAAAAAGTATGATCACACATGAAATGTTATGTGACATGTATTTGAACATGCTGTGTATTCTGAGCTTTGTCCTCATTGAATAATTCCAATGTGACTAGAGGAGTGTTATTATTTATTTGTTCTCATGTAATGTGAAAGAGATTGTAAGATAAGAAAAAAATCTCAATCTATAGAACCTAGAGTATGAGAAAACTGAACAGGGACAAGGGCAGGTTGTAGGATAATCCCTGTCACTGGAGTAAGGTCTAGTTATTAGACTCCAGAAACAAGGGATTCTGACCTTATTGTGATTCCACTGCACAGAGGTCAGGAAGCATGTGGGCCAGGTTCTCCTATTGGCCTGAGAAAGCAAAAGGAGATGAATGTGAGCTGTGTTTATGTCTGAGTGCTCTCCAGTGCTCTTGAGGTGTATTTTATACAACATGGTGCCAATATTGCTGAGGTTTGCCTCGCTCAGTTGAGGGATTCCTTGGCATCTGTTCAGATCAGACTATATCTCATTGAGATTTATCATCTGCTACTCTGTGACATCTTTTTGAGGAGACTTAAAAGTGTCTCTCAGTGCATAATGTCCATGCCCTCTCTGTGTTGAGAGCCACAGCGGAAGGGGCCCCAGCAAACTTCCAGCTCTGATTGGCTCACAGCGGCCCCAGCAAACTTCCAGCTGCCAGCTGATTGGCTCCTCTCCGGTGATGCTCATTGGGCTGTTTCCCCGCCCTTTCAGACCACGGAGCTGCTTATTGGGGGACTCTTTTGGCTCCGCCCATGAGACCCAGCCAATCGGCTTCAAGAGGGGGATGAGTGTGGGGTTGAGAGTATGGCCAGAGGAGCTGGTGGTGGCAGTTGGGCTCTGAGGGAATTCCTGAAGAGCTCTTGTGTGTGTGTGTGTGTTCTAAAAATAAAGTTCATTTCTGCTTGACAAGTGGATCCTGAATTTTGCCCAGCCAGACTGCAGCAGTCTGCTTTGTGTTTTGATGGCATTGATTCCTTCTCCATCCATCAGACGTTGTTTCCAAATAGTCTTGATCACAACTTATTAGTGGGTTTTAAAATCAATTTTGTGAGACACAAGCATATTGAAAGATATAGACTAGCATATTATTTTACTCATTTTTTTTGTTTATTATTTTATGATGGATAGTGCTTTGTGGTAGAATTCTGATGTTTGCCTTCTGTTTGTATGCCTCTGAGTCCTCCTCATAGGAACCGAGGCTTTTCGTGCTTCTGAGTGATTCTTTTGGCTTCCTTGATGCTTTCTGTGCTGGGTGGCTCCCATCCCTGTGCCCTTTGAAACTGAGTCCACTTTCTCCATATTCTTTGTGACCCGGATGTCTTCCTTCTGGGTGACACTGGACACTACTCTATTTGCATTTCAGCAAAGAGCTGCTGAGTTTAGGTTCATAGATTGAAGTGACAGTGCATGTCATGTGTGAAGAGAGCAGAGCAACCTGACAGCCAGAGAGGACTCAGTCAACTGTGCTGAATGGCAGACAACTTGGGCAGAGACCACAGACAGGTACAGTGAAGCAAGCTGTAGACAGGATAGATTCTCAGAAAGAAACTTGAAATCAGCAAGGAAACTACATACATCCACAGAAAAGCAAAGATCGGGGCTGCCTACTTGCTGAAATGATGGGAGCCGTTGAGGGGGTGTTTCTGGTTCTGATGATCACCCAGTTCATTCTTGGAAATCTGGGGAATGGTTTCATTGGTTTGGTCAATGGCAAACGCTTGTTCAGGAGCAAGAGAATCTCTTTATCTGACTTCATCATCACCAGCCTGGCCCTCTCCAGGATTGTTCTGCTGTGGATTTTCTTGATTGATGGTGTTTTGATAACATTCTCTTACAAAATGCATGATTCAGGAACAGTAATGCAAATTATTGATATTTTCTGGACATTTACAAACCACCTAAGCACATGGCTTATCACCTGCCTTGTTGTCCTCTACTGCCTGAAAATCACCAGGTTCTCCCACCCTGCATTCCTCTGGCTCAAGTGGAGGGTTTCCAGGGTGGTTGTATGGATGCTGTTGGGTACACTGCTTTTGTCATGTTGCAGTACCATGTCTCTGATCAATGAATTTAAGATCAATTCTGTGCTCTGTGGAATTGATAGCACAGGTAATGTGACTGAGCACTTCAGAGAGAAGAGAAGTGAATATCATCTGATCCACATTCTTGGGAATCTGTGGCACGTCCCTCCCTTAACTGTGTCCCTGACTGCCTATGTTCTGCTCATTCTCTCTCTGCGGAGACACACATGGCAGATGCAGCAAAATGGCACCAGTTCTAGAGATCCAAGTACTGAGGCCCACGAGAGGGCTACCAGGATCATCCTGTCCTTCCTGCTTCTCTTCCTACTTTACTTTATTTCCTTTATAATTTTGTCATCCACTCATTTCCTACCAGATGCTAAAGTGGCTCAGATGATTGGTGAAATATTTACAATGTTTTATCTTGTTGGCCACTCATTTGTTCTCATTCTGGGGAACAACAAGCTGAAACAGACATTTATGGCAATACTCCCTTGTAAGTCTGGTCGTCTGAAGCCTGGGTCTAAGGGACCCTTCTCCCCATAGTTAGCAGAGGATGCAGGATGGAACCTGGGAGTCCTTTGGCCTGGCTCCAGACTATAGGGCTCCTCCTGACCCTACCACAGTGCCAGTTTTGACTTTTTGTAGAAGAGAGACACTGCCTTCTTCACCCCTGCTTCTACCTGGTACCAAGGGTGAAAGGCAGACTTGTTTTCTATACATAGGATAGTTTGGGAAGGGGAAAACCGTCTTTGGGAAATTTCAGTGTGGTAAGAAGATTAACCATGTAGACATGGAGCTGTCTTTTAATGACTATGAATATTAGTTTAAACTTAAATTCAATACTAATATGAATAAAATAGCGTAGTAGGCTTTTTAAAAAATTGAAATAGAGGCACTTAACTACTGAGCACATTCTTAGTCCTTTTTATTTAGAGATAGGGTCTGGCCAGGTTGCTGAGGATGGCTTTAAACTTGCAATCCACCTGCCTCAGCCTCTAAAGCTGTTGAAATTACAGGCATGCACCACCATGCTTGGCAGAAAGCAATAACTTTTCTGTCCCATAGATGTTTGTTTGATTTCTTGTTCTATAATTTAAAGATCAAGATTTTTGGTCTTTGATAAGCTACTTTAGTTACTTGTTTGACTGTCTCTTTCCTCATCTTAAAAAGTAGACTATAACATCAACTTTGCAGGGCACTAGAATTTCATAAGACAACAGTAACAGCATTTTTCACAGTTCACTATATATAGTGCTGGATTAATGAAGGCTGTTTAACAATGACCAATGCAGCAGTACTTCTCATAAGGTAGCACTTTCCTTAAACCTGTGGTTTGATGATGAAAGCAGTCGGGTGAAAAGCAGGTGTTTTGGATTCTAGTTTCCAATCCATGCTTGCACTTCATCATCATTTTATTAAAATTATCAGCAGCTTTTAACTTTTGAGGATGGAAAAAACCCAAGTATCCCTGCTGGCCCATTTGCCCTCTTGCCCACTGTCCTTTCCTACCTCCCTTCTTCCTTACATCCATATATTCTTCATAACTTCCTATTCTTTTTTAAAAATATATATCAAGATAAATATTTGTTCTTCAAATTACAGAGTGTTATCCCTTCTAATATATGCAGCTTATGTAGACATTGATTTACCTCCTTTCATCAATTTTGGCAAGTCAATGAGAATATTGTTTATGTCATGTAAAATTCTCTCATTTTTGAGCAAATTCAGATAGGATATATAGTATTTCTGAATGTGTATTTCTAGCACTAATATGGCTTTCAAGTGTAGAGTGTTGTGACTAAGAATGTGGGCCTGAAAGGAAGATAGACTGGGTTCAATTCCTGGCTCTTGCCCTTAAGAACTGAATGACCATGGGGAAATTTCTTAACCTCTAGTTTACTTTCCTCCTTTGTACAAAGGAAATAGAAGTAGTATTTTTTGATGGGTTTGATGGAAGGAATGAATGAGTTAACACATGAATGATTATTACAGTTTTACATGGAGTAACACTGAAAAAACATTGTTGTTTTGTGAAAGATGGTATATTTTGACCTAGCATGAAGGATCATCACATGACTTGACATTTAGTCATGTGTAACCAGAAATTAATCTTAGGGCTGCTCTTGGATATGTACATTTATTCCTAAAAATACAGGAATAAAATGGTTTTTTTTGTCTGTATAGTTGGTTTTTATTTATGTTTTATTAATTATATTGTTATTTGCAGTTTTGGGGGCTTAACCCAGGACCTTGCACATTAGGCAAGTGAAGTACTTTGCCACTGGTCTGTATTCAACACCCTGCATAGTTGACTTTTAAATTGATACTTGTTTCTTGAAGCTGCCAGTAAAATTCCAAACTCTGACCCATCCCACAGTTCCCTATTTAGAAAGATGTAACTGCTAAAAACTAAAAATGATATAAGATTAATTTATAATTCAGTAACATAAAAGGAATTCTAAAACTGGTATTTCCCTCAACCCCATAATTCAGTAATTAAACAAAGTCTGCTTATTTTCAGCATGGGGGAGTTCATTGTAGAATTCTATGCTGCCCTGCTTGGAGGGCATCTGTTTTGTCTGCTCTGACCTCATGCTCTTTAACTCAGCCTCAACCATTCTAAAACTTCTCCTGAGCTCCTTTCTACTTTTGTTACTTTGACAACTTTCTTGCCTAGCTCTGGCCTTATTGTTCTTTAGCTGATACTGAGGTCCTGATTCTGCATTAAGGGCTGAGGTGTTAGGATTTTCCTTTCTTACTTAACATCTCACTAGAGGTTTTGGCTTGGCTGTTTGCTTACTGACTGCTTTTCATTTCACTGACTGTAGTACTATGAATAGTGGTGCAGAATTCGTAGGAGAGTCTGGTGTGGTAAAACATTCAGTTCCCTTAGGGCATCTTACCCCATCCCACTTCAAATTCCCTCTTTCAGAAAAATTTGGAGGTGACTCCTGGAAACTATGAGAGTGTATTTTGTGATTTGAGCCATGTGTGGACTGTCATTACTCAAAGGTGGGGTAGGAGTAGGGGCTTGGGTCTGGTTGATGGGTAAGCTTATGAAGAAAGGAGTGTCGCCTACTGCAAGAGGCACAACGATGGGAAGTCTGGCTATTTTGGATAGGGCTTGGTCTTCTAATTCCATCAGAGGAAATGCCTAAACTGCAAGTTCTTCAGTGAGTTCCAGGAAGTACATACCTTAGGCCCAGTTTTTAGAAACCTTGGAAAATGACATCTTTATGTTTTGTATTGTTTTGCTTTCAAATAATTGGCTTTCTTTGCTAAATCCCTTGAAATTCTTAAATCTAGGTCCTTTATGCCAAAGGTCCAGGACATGGCTTTTCTCTTCTACGACCAGACACCCCGAATCAAATTATGGAATATTAATTATATCTATATTTGAAGCCCAATTACATGCTAGAGTTGGTTCCCAATGTAAGACTGGAAAACGCCGCACCACACGACACAGATTACCAAAGAGGTTTTCCACTTTATTACAAAAGGCTGTGTGTTTATATAGGTCTAAGGAGAGGTCGCAGGGCTGAGGTAGATAACAGGTCACCCGTTTATTGGCAAGCTCTCCCATATGTCAGTTCAGGAGCCCAAGAAGTTAATTCTAATTGGGGCTAAGGCTTCCCACCAGCAGGGTTTGAACATTGGCACCGCCGGCGGGAACGTTTCGCGCCAGTGAAAGAAACAAAGAGGAGAAAGAGGGTCATTAGACGCCATGCTGGGGTTTTTCTCTGGGGTGCTGCTGCCGTTATATGTTTACCCAACACCCAATGCCCATGTCCCCTCCAAAACACATCTATTCTTTTGTGTATTTTGGAGCTTTAACACAGGAATCAAAATCAATTTATGAGAGAGCTCATGAGACCTTCTAGTTTCCATCAGGATCCTCACAGGTGAGCTTCATCCTTAACTTCATTTTGTGGCAGTCATGAAAATATGCTAGTCAGATCTCTGCTGTGGAGATCATAACTGGCTTATATCTCCAGCTGCTGAGACTTGGCACTGTGAAGCTGTGCTTCCTGTGAGTTTCTTCCAGTGTGTGACAGAGTACCATGCAGGTCTCTTCTGTTGAAACAGGAGACTCCTCCACAGCCAATTCTCGCCTATTCACTGTCCATCAGTTTTCTTGAAACTGCTACAGTTTAGGACTCCTCCTCTACCCAATTGTTTCTTCCACCCTCCTTTGTGTGTGTGTGTGTGTGTGTGTGTGTGTGTGTGTTTTCACAGATGCCATACCTTAATTATTGTTTGAATATTCTACTTTCCTCCCTCGACTTCCTCCCATGTTGAGTATCATGTATGTTTAATCTTTTTTCATTCTCTGCTATTGGAAGACCTGAGTCAATATCCTCACCTATTTAAATAAGCTCTCTTTTTTTAAACTGTTAATGCAGATCACACAAATATTCAGGAAAAGACTTTGTGTGTGTATCTCTCTCTCTCTCTCTCTGTGTGTGTGTATGTGTGTGAGAGAGATTGTGGGAATATTCTGGAAACCAACCCATATTTTCCCTCCTTGGCAACTTCAGTGTCTATTTGATCACCAGTCAGATCCATTTGGTATTTAACAGCATTTCTTCCAAATGTCACCTCATCTCCACTTCTAGTTTTTTCAACCCATCAGAGTGACTGCAACAGGATTCTGACTAGTTTCCTGTCTCCAACTCCACCTGCTTCCAGCAAAGCATTCCTACATTACTTGGGTTTCGTTTTTCATACAATGAAAATACCATTATAGTGCTCTTTTCCTGAGCTTTATAGTGACTCTCCGTTGCTCTGGGTAAATCCAAATTCCTTGACCTGTAATATAAAGCCATTTGTCATTTGTCCCCTATTTTCCTTCTTAGTTTCATCCGCTTCTAGCTCCCAAATATGCCATAATCTCTTGTTGCTATAGTTTTGTATAAGCTGTTCTCTTTGCTTAGAATTTTCTTTCTCTCATCAGCTAGTTTCTCTTCTTCACATCTTTATTCCTCCAAGACAGTTTCTCTGACTCTCAAAGATGAGGTCAAACACATACTCTGTATGTTTTCCCAGAATGTTTGCATGCCTCTGATCACATTACTATACTAATATATACTATTTATTATTACTATACTAATATATACTAATTATTCCCCAAATCTGTGACTGCTATAGTGCTGAGAACCATAGCCAAGTAGGAATGATGCATGGCATTTTTGGTTGATAGGTGACGCCAGCAAGCCATTGAGATGATAATGATTATGTTAAGATGTGCATTCAATTAGAGATTAGACCCCTGCTGTCCCCCTCGGCCTGCTACTTTGGAGCTCTCCTGGGACTCTGGAGAGTTCCCATTGGTTGGGGAAGTGCGGTAGGAGGGAATTCCAGAGGAGGGATTTCCTGTTGGTGTAGTGTGTCCCGGGAGAAGGCCTCGTGGGAGTTTTGGAAATAAAGTTTGTTCCTGCTTGAGTGGCTCGTGATTTTGTGCCCAGCCAGACTGCGGCACTATAGCATAGCTTCTGAGTGATACATGTTTCCACTTTCATCTCTGACCACTTCTCTTCCTCTCTTTGAACCTCTGTACTCTTCTATTTCCTTAACCTGTTGCACTTTTTGTCATCTCTAAGTCTGTATGTAGGGTTCTCTGTCATCCTTCTCCCTACCATCCTGTGTTCTTGCTTGGATAACATCTCTTTTCATCCTTAATTTACATGTCTCCTGACCCCCCTCTCCCAAGTCTGGATTAAATGTGCCTCCTGAACACTGTCATTGCATTCTTTGATGTTCCATCTTGTACCACCCTAAGCACTGATCTCTAATATTCTGTGTGTCTCCTCCCATTATTGTGTATGTTATCTGAAGTCAGGATGTGTAGGTTGCTATTTCTCCCCTGATTCTCTAGCACCTAACAGTGCCTCACTAACAACAGTTTGTTGCATGCAAGAATCAATGAGAGTCAGTCTAAAGAAATAAAAGAGCTTAGTCTCGGAAAGACCTTCCATCTTAGCCATTGATTGTCTGATATATGAAGTAGATATTTACTTTCTGTGTTCTTCATTTTTCTCATTGATAAGTAGGGATATCCATATCTTTCTCCTAGGACTGTTTTAAGTATTAACTAACATTTAAGATGCCTGGTGCATTGCTGGAGATAGTTGGCACTTAATAACCGCCCCCCCCCCCCAATGAAGTGGAGGATTCCTTCTTTCTTCCTTCTAAGTTCCATGTAGTACTTTTTTTTTTGTTTGGTCCTTGGGAATCAACCTAGGTGGGCACTTCACCATTGAGCCAGATCCCCAGCCCTTTCTTTTTATATTTTGTCTTGAGATAGGATCTGGCAAGACTTAAGGCCTCATTAAGTTGCTGAGGCTAACTTTGAACTCCACGATCCTTATTCCTCAGCCTCGGGAGTATCAGTGATTACAGGCACATCCTAGGGTGCCTGGCTCCATGTAGTACTTTTTTGAAAAAAATTTGAAACTGTAATTCTAGTTGTTCAGGACTGATCTCAGATCTCCAGAGTCATCACAAAATGAGCTAAGTCATCCTTTTGCTTTGACTGTTTCCCCAGCTTTCCCTACAGGTCTAAAAAGCAGAAGATCTGTATCCATGACTGCAGTGCCCACCAGTGCTCTAGTAAACAGTCAGACTTCAAGACTCGCAGGTTCATGTGTATCAGCCTATTCTTACCAACAGAGCAATGTCAGGTCTTTCTCTTTTGCAAAGTTCTTGGTCTAGGCTGCAGAGTAAGGTGCAAAGAGGAGAGATCCACATCAGGGTGAAGGTGTGATCTGTCCTGAATGGAAACTTCATGTCCTAAAGGAGCCAATTTCTTTTGTAATAATTTCACAGACATGGCTTCCAGCATCCAGTTAAGGGACATGCACATGAGGAGTCACTACATTCAGGGTGGCCCAAAGTATGTAGTCTCCATAAGATATTTATTGTTCACACATAGTTCCTTCGAACCAAGGTGTAATTTTCCAATCAGAAGACTTGGGGTGTGTGTATAAACACTGTAGTTGATGATCTTACCTTTATTAGATTGACAAGGAAAACAGACATGTCAAGTTTAATCGAAAGTCAAAATCTTGTGCAATGAAAGAGTTTTGCTAACACTTTTCCTATACTGATCCTTTGAAAAATACCTTCTGACAGAACCCTCTCACTCACTGATCACACTAGTCAACCTGATCACATCTTTATTATAATATTTCCTCCTATAGAAAGCTATTTTATTTATCACACTCTGGATGGGGTCTGTTAAAAACTAATAGCGGGTTTCCCATTTTTTTGGAATATTGTTTTCTTATATCTTAAGCTATATTATTTGTTCTGTTTCAGTGTGTTATTTGAATATGTTATATTTATATTTGAATTATTTTAATGCAGTCATATATTTTGGGTAATGAAGTAGAGATCTATGCTATAATTTCCCCTTGAATCATGGCCTTGCTTCTTCACTCACTAGTTTTACCTGTTTTGCTGATGTGGGTATATCTCTGTTAGTGCCTGTTAATTTTGTATAAAAAGCTTCTGCAAGCACCTAGGCTCCACCTCAGGGAATTTCTTATAGGATTGCCTTCCTGTCACACCATATCTTGGCTCCTTCTGCTTGTCCATTCCTATTTGTGTTTGGCAATAGGACTTTGTGCTTCACCTTGATGCAAATTTGGTAAGATATATTTGGTCACATCCTGGATTGCACTGTGGTTTCAAATAAAAACAAACAAACAAACAAACAAAAAACTATAGAGTAGATAAGAGATGCCATACTCTTGCAGTACTCATCTGTGGTTCTCCATAACATCATTTGTCCTTTCATATCTAAGCAGTGACAAAGTAATCAGGCAAATAGTTGTTTGATCCAAAAAACTACAATTTGTACTGTATATCTCATTCATTGTCAGTTGAATGCATACAGGGAGATAGCCACATATGATCTAAGTATAGATGCAGATTTTTAAAGGAAACAAATGAAAAGCCTGACTTTTTTCTTACACAAAAATAAGAACACAGCAATTGATAGTGGCAGTAATTTGTATATGTAGCAATAAGGGAATGCAAAATAATTATCATGGAAAGATGGGAATAAGAAAGATTGTCTCTGCTGGGCGTGGTGGTGCATGCCTATAATTTCAGTGGCTCAGGAGGCTGAGGGTCCTGAGTTCAAAGAGAGCCTTAGCAACTTAGGCTGTAAGCAACTCAGTGAGACCTTGTCTCTAAATAAAATGCAAAATAGGGCTGGGGATGTGGCTCAGTGGTTGAGTGCACCTGAGTTCAATTCCCAGTACCAAAAAAAAAAAAAAAAAGAAAGAAAGAAAGAAAGAAAGAAACACTGTCTTAAAGAGGATCAGATTCTTGAACTTAATTTATTAGACAACAGTAAATCACTATATGTGTTAAGGGATAAAGCAGCAATAAAAGAGAATAAAATCATGGCATTTTCAGGAAATGGATGTCATTGGAGAAGATAATGCTAAGTGAAGTACGCCAATCCCAAAAAACACAAATCCTGAATGTTTTCTCTGATATAAGGAGGCTGACTCATAGTGGGGTAGGGAGGGGGAATAGTGGGGTAGCATGGTAGATGAATTCTAGATAGGGCAGAGGGGTGGGAGGGAAAGGGAGGGGCAGGTGCTTAGCAAGGATGGTGGAATATGATAGACATCATCATCCAAAGTACATGTATGAGACATGAATTGGTGTCATCATACTTTATATACAACCAGAGAAATGAAAAATTGTGCTATATACATGTAATAAGAATTGTAATGCATTCCACTGTCATTTATTTATTTTTTTAATCAATAAAAAAGGAGTGGCACTGGAAAAATTTGAATGACAGTTGGAGAAAATAGCTACAGCATCCACAGATTATAGGGGAGAGAGAAGTTGAATTGAGGTAAGCCATGGATATGTGGTTGGAAGGTGCTGAGTAGCAGTGAGGCATTAGAATTTCCACCATCATCTGTGGTTTCTATGAAGAAAACCTATGGTATGAAACACTGACAGAAACAATGCTGGACTAGGTCTCTCTGATTGGATTTGAAGACCTTGAAGTCTGTTCTGATTCCACCCCTGGCCTTCTTGCTCTTGGAGGAAAGGACTTCCAGGTCTACCTAGGCTTGTTTTAATTGGGTGTTCCTAAGGAAAAAAGTATAGGAATGAAGAAATAGTAATGCAATCCTTAGAAAATTTGCATCTCAGTAAAAGCAGTTGGCTATTAAACTACAAATGGCTCATTTGCTGAGCTGGGGGAAAAAAAAAGGAAACATCTCCCTGTTTGGATACTGGTATCTACCTACACATTTCAGTATTTCTCCTGCCTCAGCATCAGTACTATAACTGCTGAATTCTCAATGAGTAAAGATGCTTGAGGCATTTTATTTTTCTGCTGTTATTGCCTCACTTAGTTTTAATTTTGTAGGAATGATTATGAATCTGTTCATTGCAGTGGTCATTTACAGGACTTGGGTCAAAAGCCACAGAATCTCCTCTTCTGATAAGATCCTCTTCAGCTTGGGCATCACCAGATTTTTTATGCTGGCATTGTTTATCCTGAGCATTTTGTACATCATCTCTTCAAAGGCTGAAAGGTCAGTCTCCTATTACACACTTTGTCTGTTATGCTGGAGGTTTTTAGACTCTATCAGTCTCTGGTTTGTGACCTTGCTCAACAGCTTGTACTGTGTGAAGATAACTAACTTCCAACACTCAGTGTTTCTCCTGCTGAAACGGAATCTCTCCCCAAAGATCACCAGACTGCTGCTGGCCTGTGTGCTGATTTCTGCCTTCACCACTCTTCTGTATGTTGTGTTCAGACAGATGTCACATTTTCCTGAATTTGTGACTGGGAGAAATGGCACCTTATTTGACCTCAATGAGGGCATCTTGTCATTGGTGGCCTCTTTGCTTTTGAGCTCATTGGTCCAGTTTATCCTTAATGTGACTTCTGCTTCGTTGTTAATACATTCTCTACGGAGACATATACAGAAGATGAAGAAAAACTCCACTGGCTTTTGGAACCCCCAGACTGAAGCTCATGTCCGTGCTATGAAACTGATGATCTATTTCCTCATTCTCTACATTCCATACTCAGTGTCTACCCTGCTGTGTTATCTCCCATCTTATTCCAGGATGGGTTTGGGAGTCAAAGCCACTTGTATGATTATTTCTGCTCTTTACCCTCCAGGACATTCTTGTCTCCTCATTCTCACACATTCTAAACTGAAAACCAAAGCAAAGAAGATTCTTTGTTTCAACAAATAGTGAAATTTCAGCTGTAATCATTGGCTGGAGTTATATATGGGTTGGGAGCAAGATTTTCTGTTAGCAGTTTTCTTATTGGTTTGGAGAAGTTATTTTTCTGTCTGTGATTCTGACATCCTATGTCTTTGAGTGCCTGTATATCAATTAATTTTGCATTTTGTTTTTGCCAATATTTTAAAATGAAGTACATTCTTAAGGAACTTGTTTGAGGCATTACTTATGATGAATTTTTCATGATTTTTACATTTTTGGGTAATGATAATCACCCCCTGGTTATTGAAGTATGATGGGAAGTTACCCCAAATTAAGAAACATATTCTGGTGCATATGATGATTTTTTTTTGTTATTGTTTAATTGAAGAGTCCTGAGAGAAAGTACAGCAGTATATGTGTAGTCATTGAGAGCCAGTAGACAGGCTTTAGATATAGTAAGGTGGAACAACAACAACAAAAAATTCAATGAAAGTAAATTATTGGGTGAGACAGAGAAAAGTCCTCACACTTGCTGGGTGACAGTAACCACTAGTACTATCAAGAAACCCTAGCACTGAATTTCTAGGTTGTATATGGAAAGGAGGAAAAAGTAATTTGATAGGTGGAGGGAAGTGATTAGTATTAAAGAAGTCAAATCCAGAATAGTTTCAAGGATCTCAAATCCAAAGAGCTAACTTTCTTGGTCAAAAGCAAGTTCAGATGGTGAAATCAACACCACGTGAGTGCAAATTTACAAAATACTGTAACTCATCTTGCAATATGGAATTTGGTGGAAAGCTAAGAGGAGCCATTGAATTGGTAGTGGAAATGCCTGACTCTGGGGAGATTTATTTCGGTAGTATATGCATTTGTACAGAGCACAGGATAGCACTCTTTCTGGAGTTGGGACAGCTGGACTGTGCCTCCACAGGAACAAAGATATGAACACAGGATATTGACAAGTTTTGAAATGGGAATTGAGAATTAATTATATAGTTTTTTAAAAATAAGCTTCTTATGCCTCATTTATAAAATGTTGATGTAATATTTACATATTTCAAAATAAATAAATCTTCAAATTTCTCAAATTGCCTGTCTTTTGTATTCTGGCCACCAGTTTATTGAGTAAATACTACCCAAACCAATATTTTATAGCAGGAAAACTGTAGATATTTGTCATATTGGAATCTTAAGATTAAGAGACTAAAGGATTACTGAGAATGATTAATGTACACTATGGCATAAGAACTCAAATGAGAGGCAGAATCCATTATGGGTCCTCCAATACCTGTTCTTTCTCCTGTCTTTTATAGTATTCAAATTTTTAGCTGTCAAGATTTTTGGCAGCTAACTATATCTTATAACTGCTTCTTCTTCTAAGTAGGTGTTATATTGTCATGTAATTAAGCTATGCCAATAGAGAGTGAGCAGAAGTAATGTTAAATAATTTCTAGGTGTGACTCCAGAACAGTCATACCTTTCTCTTTCTCTCTTACTTTTTTTTTGTTTTGTTTTGTTTTGTTCCTATGGGCTGGAATGCCAATGTAATATTGCCCATCTTGGACCAGCTGCTGAGGTGAATGCTTGGAGATAGAGGAGTTAATACCCATCTTGGAATTGGCTGCATGGTTCCTGCCGTGGTGGCCTTGCTGCACCAGCTCTGGACTGTTCATGCCTGAACCCTGGGATTGTTCATCACAAACAAATATCTTCATGCTTTTAGGCACTGTGCTTCAGTCAAATAATTTACGCTTTACCATAAATCCATCTTTGTGATGAAACAATATGTAATTATTTTCCATCTTATAGTCAAAGAACATTTATATGTTACCTGCTAAGTAAAATACAACAAAAACATATATGGAGTATGACACTGATTTTGATAGAAACATGTGCATCTAAAAAAAGCCTAAGAGAAAATATATAAACATCCAAACAACAATTACTTTAGGTAGAATATAGTGAGTAATATTTTTTACACGTTGTGAGTTTTCTGTATTGAATATATTATAATCAGTAAAAGCATATACTTTTAAATATATACAGTATGTACAGTCTGTCTATCCATCCATCTATTCATTCATCCATCAATGGTCTGTCCATTCATCTTTTTAAAGAACAGATAGGAATCTGATGTCAATATGCAATTTCTCCTAAGCAAGGTAAGTGAATAGCCTTTCTTATGTTTTGTTTGAATTCTTTTTCTTGTACAGTATTGGCCAAATTCTGCTAATTTGTATCTTGATTACCCTACATCTTTTTTTTTTTTTTTTTACCTCTCAGAGTTGGATATGCTATCCTTGTAGCAGCACTATGAAGAAAGACTGCCTAGGCACTTGCCTCAAGTGTTCTGTAGGCCTGGTTTTTAGAAAAGCTGTGTAGGCTTGGAGTTTTTCTAGTTCCATTATGTTCCACTAACTACCTGCCATTAAGTACTTATTAACCAGAAGTTAAACAAAGTAATTTGTTTTTTTAAGATGTGATCATTTATAGGCTCCCATATAAATACCCATTATCTTGTATCTTTATCTATTCTCTGCCTATTGCAGGAGAAGGAGATGTTAAAACTCTGTTAAGGAGAGTCACACTCTGAAGTGGAGGGTGGGTGCCAGGTCAGTGCCTAAATTGTGTCATTAAGTCATGAACATCCACTGTGAAAGCTCTGACCCATGGTTGTGTTAGCTTTTAACTGCTTTAAACGCAATGTGTCTGAGCTGCATTTTCACATGTGATTGTATCAGTTCATCATAACCTTTTTGGTAAGGCAGATATTATTATGCTCACATAGTTGAGGAAACTGAGGCACAAAAAAGCTATGTAAATGTTTTATAACAGTAGAAATAGGAAGGGGTTGACCCAGGACTCCAGTTCAAGTCTTCTGACTCTAAATTCCAATGGTTTCACCGCCATATCACAAGGTGGGTAGAAAGACACATAGAGTGGGATAATGCCCAATTAAATAGGCTTATCTTCTAGGAAAAGAGAATATCTTCAAAAACATGTCTGAAGCGGCTGTCTCCAGTCTGAGGACCCACACAGAGATGCTGGTGTTTTTACAATAAATCTCCTGAGTTTTATTTCCTTAGTGGAAGTGAATATCATGGGGTCACATATACTTTGGGGTTTTAGGCCCTGACATTTATATGAGATATTTTTTCAAAATGGAAAATTAGTAACACTAAAGAAGAAACAATTTAAAAATTTATTTTGAAAGCTGCTACTTGGGAAGTAAGACAGCAATGTAAGCTGATGGCAGAGTAGAAACTATTCTTGTAAGAACTGAATGAAAATTCTTCAAAGTTTCTTTGTGATGCTTAAATTTTACTTAATCATGTATGGCTTTTGGTTTTCCTGTTGGTGAGCCATTCTTAGTTTTCAAGAAAGAAAGAAGGGAAAAAAAAGGAGAGAGGGAAGGGATTTCTTTTAAAGTATGAATTGAAGGTTGCTATTAAGATAAATTCAAATTCCAGGTAAAGCTACTGAAGACACTTAAAATAATATTTCTCAATAATGTCCTTTTTCACAAGTTAAAGCTGGAGATGGATCCACTCGTCTAGCCCACTTATTCTCAAAGAGGTGAGAAGCATAGTAGAGTCCATTAGTAATTATTTTTTTCCTTTATTTTCAAATTTCATATATCCTGGCTCCCATTCATTCTGAGTATGGGAGTAGAAGGGGCATGTGTAGTTTGACTGTATTCCCTAGAGATTTGGATATTGTGGCCTAAGGAAAGGCACAGTTATATGTCCATGCCCTACCCATGGCCATTTTATCAGATGAGGAAAAAACTGTGAAAGGAAAGTCCATTTGTGCATGAGAATATCCCTGTCAGGGAAATAAAAAAGAAGGTGATCTGGGTTAATGGGGGTGGTAAGGGCAAGGAAGGGGAGTTGAGAAGGGAATAGACAATAGCAGGAGGAAGGGGATAGTCTGTACACTCTCTACATCTGTTTTTGGTAGAGGTATGTGGTTCTAAACATGGCTTCTGAACTGTTTGATTATTCTCTGGATTATGGCTACATGGGTCCTTACCAGAAGGAAATTAAACTTCACTTTCTGGAGAGCTCCCCAAACTTTGTCTGCTGTACTCATCCCCTCCCTCTCACCCCAGAATTTCAAATTTATGGAAGCAGATGAAAATAGCTCCCATTCTCTAATCTGCAAAGATGATGTGCTTTTACTCTATTTACTTTCTCTGCCTCTGAGCAATGCTGCAGCTGCTCATCATACTCTTTCTCAAAGGCTGTGATTCTGGCTTTACCAGAACCCTGGATGGTATAGTTGGTGCTTCCTCCTCCCACTAAAAAGATTGAATTCTGGATGATGAGCAGTGAACAAGAACCCTTCTTCTTCCTAAGGCAGTGGGGAGGAACCCGGAAAGAATGATTTTGTGTACATTTATATTTTTGTTCCTGTTATATGTGCTTGATTTGTTCAATTTCTGAGTATATGAACTAATGTAGCTCATTTAGAGAATCAGTTTTCTCAGGTTAACAGCTGCTCTCTGTGCTCTCTAGAGGCAAGGTAGGTACAATCCTGGGAAGCATTCAGAAAGGCTGTGTGAGTATAGGAATACAAAATGCCTGAAGAATGACCAAGACAATAGAGGATCAAGTTGTCCTTATTCTGGAAATGGAAAGGGACCTTTTGTTGCAAGTTTTTGATTTTTGAAAGCAGTGACTGTTCTTTGTTTCTTTTCTTTCAGTATTTTTTTCCTATTTTTGAGAGGCCGCCTTGTTCAAACTCAGTATAAAGCCATAATTTGCCCCTCTGAGAGTCTTCCTGATGCTTGTATTTTATCTTTGACTGACCTTCTTTTCTTGGATCAGGTATTATGAAAATAGTTGAGAGCTCAGACCAGTGGAGGGTAAAGGTATGAGTAGAGGGACCTAGGTTGAAAGAGGTATGGTAGTAAATGACAGATATATTTCAGTTATGTCCAGGGGTTGCTCTGGTAAATTAGAAAGATTGAGGCTATCACTCACCATACAGACCTGTGCAGGGGCATTCTTGGTTTGGGGTCTGACATGCTGAACAGTTCTGTGTGGAAATGGAGTATCAACGGTGGTTCTCGGATTTCTCTCTTGCCTGACATATAGAGCTAATATTATTCAGCAGTTAATATTTATCCTGTCTTGTTTTTTGTTTTATTTTGCTTGTTTTCTCACACTGTCCTTTGTACCCCCTACTTTGTCAATAAGGCTTTGTATGTGTATAGATACAGCTCTGTTTACATGTTAAAGGTATAAATATGTTAAAACTCTTAATTATTTGATCTTCCCACAAGAATAGAAGCTCCATAAAAGCAGGGACTTATTTTCTTTCACACTATGTTCCAAGAGTCTGCAATGGGGGCCTGACTCATGGTAGTCATTTAATAAGTATTCATCAAATAATTGATCAATGTGTTTTCCCTTCTTATAATACCAGGCCCCACTGTTTAGGTTCTCTGAATATTGTATTTAGGTTTTGTGGATCTAGATAGGGTGGAAGCAGGGTTTTAGGAGACTGCTGTCAGGTCTCTGGACTTCCCTTGGAATGCCACTCTGTAGCTATGGCTCTGTACCTGATCTCAGTTCAGGCTGGCTTCATGTAGATGCAAGTGAAGGTGGAACTACTACCTTCAGGAACATTTCTTCTGTTGATGCTGTACCATCTTTCTAGAGAATAAATTTCCAAAGGACAGAGACATAATTTGAGAAAAGAAATGTCCTACTGCAATGCTGTTACAGCTTCGGAGGAACTGAGCTTCAGCCAGGAGCTGTACTCATTCATTAGCTCTTTTACAGACAGGGCATCTCCTGGTATGGAGTGAGAGACTCCCTTCCCCAGCAAAATGACTGTGTCCCTAGGCCTGATGATGCTGGTGGCAATGGCTGAATTTCTCATTATCCTGGTTGGAAATTGAGTTATTGTGGTGTGAGAGTTCTGGAGAATGACTCCAAAAATTGTAAGGGGTCTCTGTATG